GACAAAGCCCATCAGTCTCAAAATAGCAAAATCCATCAAAATTACAACTTATTTTTTTAAAGCCACATATTCTAATTTTAGTTGATACACAAATAACCCCCAACTTTGCATATGGCCCATTTTAAGATAACGCAGGATTCTGGGCCAAATCCTGCAAGGTGCTGAAACTCCTTAGCTTCCACTATTTTTAAATTTCCTTTAATATGATCCACTATGAGCATCATCTTCACCAAAAATAATAAACAAGCTCCTGTGTTGATGCAGCTATGTGGAAGTAAACACAATTAGGCCTCTTTTATGCTAAAATGAACAGCATACTCATGAGACATACTGAATCAATTATTCCTAAGGGATTCATGGCTATCAGTCAGATTATAAAAGCTAGTTTATTTAGACTTCACATTTCTGATAAGAAATTCTATGTTAAGCAGAAGACAGCTACATTGAAATTGAAAAATTAATCACCACGGTTGTTTGAATTAATCCGGTTCATCTGATTTTGCTTCACAAAAATTCACAGAGCTGTTCTTATTTTAGTTCTCCCCCCCCCCCCGTTCCCCCAGCACCATATACACGTGAAAACCCTTGGTAAACTGCTTGTATGCCAGAGACTAAACTAAGACAGTCTCCAATAGGTTGGAGTTAACATCAAGCCTTCTTGATGAAACCATGTGTAAAAGCTTGTCAGTTCTTAGACAGTAAGACTGGGACTATTGAACTGACATTTATAGAGTGCTTTTTAAATCATCTGTCTGAATGCACATTACGGAGCAATGAATCACACACCTAAAACAGTACTTGTGTGCAGACCAATCCTGCAGCCATTGTGTGCTCAACAATCACATATCTGCGTAAGTTTTCATTACTGTTGGTCTTCCTGATGTTAACTGAGGAAGGGAATACTGGCTAATGGTTCTCTCATAGCTGGACTCCATAAATTATACACTATAAAAGAATGAAATTGATTGACTTGCTCCACAACATATTGCAGAGATAGCAAACCAAGGCCTTTTCCACTCCCAGTATTGAAGATTCCACTGCACTTTTTGCAAGAGCAGGTGTGTGAGCGCTGGAGTCCTGGCCAAAATTTCATTTTAGGTAACTACCTAAATTCCTCCTGCAGATTCACCTGGATTCAGTTCTTCTGTAGCTCCTTTCCTAAGAGAGTTATGTAAGGCTTAGAAGTTTGCATGATAATGGCATCTGCAAGTAGATCATTTGAGGATTTCTATGTAAGCGACACATTGTACTGCAAGTTAGGGGACCTCAAGTGGAAAATTCCCCCTTCCAGAAAAGATGTGGGGAGATGGACAGGTTACTAAGAAGTCAGAACCTGCACTGAGTTCAGGTTTACAGCAATTTATCTTTAACAATTTGACTGTGGGTGGGGTGCATGTATATACATGTCCTGGTGTGATTTGTAACAGTTATATTTTACTGAAATGAGAAGTGGGGGGGGGGGGGGGAAGGGAATTGTGCTTTTTCCCCTACTTTGCAGCAATGCTCACTTTTCTTCCTCCCCCAAAGCCTGAAGGAGGCCAACTTTATGGCCATGATATCATCTACAATCTTCTGCTTCTGTCCCCACAACTTTAGTTTTCTGTTAATAAATCATAAGCGAGTCCGGTCAGCCTTATTCACTTTATTTCATATTCCCCAGTATTTGCTCTTTCAGAAGTCCATGTTTATTCACTTATCTCTTAGAATACAGACATACTGTATTAAATTCCCAAGTATCTAAAAAAATAGGATGATTTGTTGATTTTTCCCATAAATACACTTAAAAATAGGTATGGGCCTGAACCAAATTCCCAGATCCAAACACAAATGCTGGAGACATCAGATTTAAAATCTCGATGTAATGTTTAATGATAACTGTCATACGTAATACAGGCCACAACATTCTAGTATCTTAATTGTTTTTGTTCCACTGTAATGAGATTTACACGTTCCTTTTCTAACACTAGAACAAATTCCTATTCCTCTACTCACACTGAGTAACATCTACTGCCACAAATGGTCCCATTTCTTCAGTGGGAACATGAGTGGAGTAAGGAGCTACTCAACACAAGTAAGCGAATTGGAATCAAGCCAACTGAGAACTATCAGAGTTCTTCTTCCTTTCCTCTGGCCACGTCCATTTTTAGGTCTGTCCACTCTGGGCCTGACCCAAAAGCCACTAAGTTAATGGAAAGAACCCATTTGACTTCCGTGGGTTATAGCTGGAACCCCAAATACACGATTTATTAGGTATCAGATCCCTTACTCATCACAGCTCAGAGATTGTAATCCACTGGTGAATGTGCATTATAGGTTCCCCTCTGTGCTGATCCACAGAGCATACAAGTTGGTTACAGACCCTAGCCATAGAGCCTTTGCTCATGCTTTGTGTGTGTTTGCCTCAAAGGTGACCATCACAGGATCAAAAAAGGAAAAAACTATTTGTATTCCCCACAACCATGACCCTTGGGCTCTAGAAAGAAAAAAAATATTATAGATACAGCAGAACCTAGACTACCTAAAATGCCTTGTCATATGAAACAGTTTTGTCTCCCAACATTACTAGTTACATTGAAGGAATTTTCAATTAACTAAAAACGTTGATTATTCAAACTTATTCTCCATACTGCCCCGCACTCCACCCCTTCCTGACATTCCACTAATTCAGGTTGTACTGTATTGCCAACCTTTAAAAACAGCCAGATTCCTGATAGATGTTGAGCATCCATAAATACCAGTGGGCAACCCCCACTCTTACATGAAAGGCCATGACATCCTTCATGGCCAAACAGACTAGAGCAGATGGGACCTCAGTTTTTTCTTTCTCCAAAAAGACACACAGACAAATGTAACTTGATTTAACTATTTGAACAAGACAAAGGGCAGAGCTGACCCTGTGGCTATTCGAAAGGATAGTCAAAAAAGCTCACTCTTAGGGAGGGAGGGAGATAATCCAAAATGGGAGTATTTCTTAGACAGATTTTAAAGCTTTGTGTTAAAGCAGTGCCTCTCAACCTTTCCAGTCTACTGTACAGTACCCCTTTCAGGAGTCCATTTTGTCTTGCATACCCCCAAGTTTCACCTCACTTAAAAAGTATTTATTTACAAAATCGGATATAAAAATACACAAGAGTCATACCACACTATCACTGAAAAATACTGACTCATTTTTACCATATGATAAAAAAAATCAACTGGACTATAAACATTGTACTTGCATTTCAGTGTATCGTATATAGAACAGTATAAACAAGTCATTGTCTGTATGACCTGTTAGTTTGTACTGACTTGCTAATGCCTTTCATGTAGCCAGTTGTAAAACTAAGCAAATATCTAGAAGAGTTGATGTACCCTTGGTTGAGAACCACTGTGTGAAAGGTTGTTGTAGTCTGGTTCAATGAGACATTTTAAATCTCACTTATTTCTCACAGTCACTCACATATTGACTGCTGTGGGGGTATAGATAGTCTTCTGTTGTTGCATTTAAGTGTAGGTATTGCAAAACTAATGCCTAATCCCCGGTTTAGGCCCAAATCGAGTTCTGTGAATTCAGACACTTTCACCTGCACTGAGTCCCATTACTTCATGGCCACAGTGGGACTCCAGGGGTGCACCCACAAAGATCCCCATTGAAGCAATTAAGTTAATAGGGCTTGATTCAGGCCCAATGTTCCACCCTAACAGAGCCCACTACAGGATCAGGGCTTTGGTAATCAATATACGGTAGAACTAGGATTTTTTCTGAAGAGTTTCAGTTAATTAAGAAAAAAAAAAATCTTCACCCAAAAGGACTATAAGGTCTTATGCAACAAAAAGGAAGAGACAAGTCATTTTTTTAATTAGGAAGGAAAAAAACTAAAGCTCCCAAATTGGCATGGAGACTCAGGAGGAGGGGCAATATAGGAACATGACTCCATTCTTTTGAAATTGACTAGATTTCAAATTGTCAGTGTCCCTTTAAATTACTCTTTTTCCTCTTATGCTGCACACAATAGGGATTTACTGATTTTTTTAGTGGACAGCAATATGTCTGACTCATTTAGGGGATTATCATTACTCTAACACAGCATTTCATTCTTACATATTGGAAATCATGTATACTGTAATTCAGGCAGTGTAATTTCCTGTGGGGCACTTCACCACATGAATAGATCAGGGAGTTAAAATATATTGTATATAGAATATACACTTTGCAGGTAAAGTCAAAATATGGATGTTAAATATCAGTCATTACACTTGTTACATGCATGAGTGGCCACTGCAACAAAGGCACTGGATTATTAGCTAATGAGGGACAAAAAGAAAAATCATACAACCCTGCCTCACCCCCATCCGTTTGCCTCTCTCACAATGTTTGATCTTTTTTCTCTGAACCCCAAGCCCTGGCTTTAAGTGATTTTTCAGATCTGAGATTTCATTTTTTTTAAAAATGTAAGTGTCTTGCCTTCCAGGCTGCGGAGAGAAACTTGAGAATGGCCCCTCTGACGGCTACGGGCTCAAAACCCAGAGGCAAATAAAGAGCCCTCAATGTAAAGAGCACGAATCTCATGATCTCAGTGGGCAGCCCCTGTGCCCTGGTTTCTGGGCGCGGCTCCCGGCGGCCCCAGGCTGGAGTTAGCGCCTGGTTCCCGGCCTGCTGCACCGGCAGTAGCCTACAGCGGGCTGAGGAAAGCGGGGGTTTCTCGGGGGGCCCCGCGGCCCGGTTACCGTAGCGAGGGCGCAGCGCCGGGACTGGGACCCCGGCGACTCTCTCCCGCCCTTCGAGCGCGGGCTGCGGCGCTTGGGTGGCTCTGCCCGGGGGGGACGCAGTTCGAGCGCAGCCGCAGGACCGTGGCGGATCCCTCCACAAGGCGGCGGCGGGGCTGAGGGCTGCTCCCTACCACCGTGGGCCTAGGCCGTGCCAGCGCCCGCCGCACCTGCCACCCGCGCTGACCTCCCCCTGATGGCGCCGGAGAAACAGCCGCCCCTCGCGTTCGCGCTTCACGGCACTGTCGCAATCATACAGGCGGTCTGAGCTCAGCTGCGCTTTACGGCAAGATGGCGGGGCCGGGCTGTGGGCCGTCTGTGGGCCAGGTCCGTGCTTCGTAATCCGCTTCCCCTGTCCCGGCGCAGAGGCGCCATGGACCGTAGGAAGAAGCCCCTGGAGGTCACAGTCGCCTCGGTGAGTGCTGCTGGCCAGGGTGGGGGCAGCCGGGCGGGTCTCTCCCTGTGTCTCCTGGGTAGGTCTCTAGCCTCTTCCCTCCCCGATAGCCCCATGCCCTAGACTGGTTCCTGCTGCGCCCCCGCCCCGACTCCGTTCCCCAGACAGATCCCCCCACCCCCGGCTCCCTCCCCCAGCTGGGGACTGGAGCCGGGGGGAGACTGTAGTCGCTCTCCTCCCCCGAGGTGCTGCAGAAACCCGCCCCCTGGGGCGAGCAGGGCAACTTGGTCTCGCTCAGTGGTTCCCAAACTGGGGTTCGTGAGATGTCACAGGGGGTTCTCGGGGAAAGTTCCCTAATGGCGGGCAGAGCTGTCCCTAGGGACTCCGGGGCCAGCCGCCCGCAGCCCCTGGACTTCCAAGAGCTAAGCAGATCAAAGCAAGCATCACTGTCACCTTGAGGAGATTTAAATGTCAAGACGCCTTATAAGAAATGGAAAGGGAGGTGGATATTTTTTTTGCCGTTTTTAAAATTAACTAGGCAGCTAGTATTTTTAAATTTATTACGAAGAACAGGTTTAAGCTGTGTTGTAACGTGCGTTGTTTGCCTGGACCGCTCAAGACCTGAATGCTTGTGTAGGAGGAACTCTGAGCTGGCTTCTTAAATACCTTCCTGCCGTTTCACATGTGATGCTCCTTGATGAAACATAGGAGCCTTGTCTTATAACAGGCTTATTCAAAGTGATACAAGCTACAAAAGTGAGATCTTGGAAGAGTGTTGCTGTTTTCATAATGTAATAAAAATACTGTAATGATAGATACTAGCGTGTAATAAGCATGTAATAAAAACAAATTTTATATTTCCAAGATCACTCCTTTTATAATTTATACTCAAGTAAAGGAGAAAATCCCTGGGACTAGTCATTTTTAGGAGGGGGGTTCACAAGAGTTGACATTTTAGTGAAAGGGGTTCACGGGTTGTTAAAGTTTGGGAACCACTGGTCTAGCTGCTCATGGCCCTACAAGCCTGTCTCAAGGCCTCGCTCCTCCTAGCGGTGTGAGCGCATCAGAGCCAAGGTTCTGCACAGTGCAGGAAATGCCATCATGTTGTGGCTGTACAGCACCAGCTCATCCCCTTTTGGCCAGGGTATGTGAATGGCCAGCCTCCACCTGGCTGGAGTCAGTAGATGCAGTGATTCTGCTATGTGAAGACAGAGAGAGAGATTAAAGTGGTGTGGTGCATCATAAGATGACACCATACGGTGTTACCAAGGTGCAAACATTAGTAGGGGACGGGGGGTGTCTAGTAGGACAAATATTAAAAGCTCCTACTTTCTCATGTACTACAGCAACAGTAAACGATTTTAGAACCATTTATAAGATGTTCAAGGTTCATGCGAGAACAACAGAAGCCCCTTCACATCAGTTTTAGTTCCTCCTGGAAAGTTCCCTTGGGTTTTTATTCAGTTGGTTTGTAGTTCATTACAGATCATTTAAATGATTTTGTATCTCTGAGCTATTTTATTGTAGTTGGTAATCACACTTACATGCAACACAAATTAAATTAAGCAAAACTTGTACTTACCCAGTTTTTAAGAGCCCTCTAGGAATTCTTTCCTCCTACCCAGGTAACTCCTCTTTCTGAGAGGATATATATGAGAATTGCAGCACTCATCTCTTCATCCTGATTGGGTCTGGGTAAGAACACAGCTACTTTACACCCCATGTAGAGTTGGTCTGGAGAAACAGCTGTGCCTTGTATATTCCAGCTGGTGATCTTTCTTTGCCTCTACCTATTGAGTGTGTTTGTTTGAAACAGGGATGAGGTGCTACTGGACAATGAGAGTTCCCTTAAGAGCTGTAAAATGGTCTGTGTGCCCCGTTACATAGCCACAAAGTTATATAATCCTTGGGTTGGTCTAAATACAGAAGGTTCAACAGCATCTCAGAATAGTCTTTCTCCAACCTTCATGAGAAAATAAAATGCCATTGAGTAAACATGGGGTATTGTCTCTTGTCTCACCCCTAACACCTCAACCCTATTAATAAAAAATAAACCCTAATGTGAAAAAAATACTTTATCTCAAAGTGTCTCTCAATATCTCAAAGTGTCAGATTTCAGAGTAGCAGTCATGTTAGTCTGTATTCGCAAAAAGAAAAGGAGTACTTGTGGCACAATAAATTGGTTAGTCTCTAAGGTGCCACAAGTACTCCTTTTCTTATCTCAAAGTGTGTCTTTCTGAGGGATGCTGCTGTGCGTTGGCATGGCAGTTGTAGCCGTGACCTTACACTTCCCCCTTCAAACACAGCACACTGAACACTTAACTTGTGCATCTATGTCAGTATTGAATTTGCTAATGTTACAAACCCTAAATATAGCCTGAGTATTTTGTGAAGGAGAAGAATGTGAATGTATTTCCTGATTTTTTATTTTTTTTTTTGGAGGCAGAAGGAGGTTTTGTGAAGATGCATAGTCTCTGACTGTCATTGGAAATGCCTTCTGTGGGCATTAGGGTACAGTTCATTGATTTCCCATAACTTGTTATATTCCCTTGCTGTTAAGGGTGTGCTTAAATGGAATTAAGATTGGTTAAGTGGGACATTCCTATTAAACATTTGTTTATGGAGCATCCTTCATGGGAGATTAAGTTTCTGTAAAAGTCCCAAACATGAAAGCAGTAGGTAACTTCATTCATACCTAAGAGGTTGTCAGGACTTAAACATAACCTGAAATAAGGTGGCATTTTGCTGTTTGTTTATTTTCTGTGGTATACTTTTGTTTATAGTCTAAGCATCTTTCATTGATTCATTGAAGTCTTAGATAGTTTCACTCCATTATTTCTATTATTAATGTTCTATCAGCGTTTTGTGTGTCAGGATAATCTAGCAATTTAATTGAAACACAGCAATGAAAATAAATAGGGTTGTATCCAAAACATACATTTAATGAACTTTTGCATCAGTACTTCTGACAGTTTAGGAAAAGCTTGGTTGGTTAGCATCATTGTGTTTGTGGCAAATTTTAATACCAAGAAAAGGAGGACTTGTGGCACTTTAGAGACTAACAAATTCTATGAATGCATCCGATGAAGTGAGCTGTAGCTCACGAAAGCTTATGCTCAAATAAATTTGTTAGTCTCTAAGGTGCCACAAGTCCTCCTTTTCTTGGTATTAAAATTTGCCACAAACAAATTTATTTGAGCATAAGCTTTCGTGAGCTACAGCTCACTTCATCGGATGCATTCATAGAATTTGTTAGTCTCTAAAGTGCCACAAGTCCTCCTTTTCTTTTTGCAGATACAGACTAACACAGCTGCTACTCTGAAACATTTAATAGCAAGGACAACCAACAGCCTGGTTACATTTCTTGTAGAAATCAGTTTACTGGAGGACTGGCTGAAGAAGCCATCAGATCATAAATGGTTTTTTGGTTGTTTGGGGGTTTTGTTTTGTTTTAAAAAGGGACTCCCACACTCCTGAAGGCAATTGTTCAAAAGTTGAACCTGCTGAGTGAAGTTTCTTGGGCCCAGATTCTCAAAGGTATTTAGACACCTAACTCTCATTTAAGTCAATGGGTGCTAGGTACCTAAATACCTTTGAGAATGTGGGTCTTGATAATTAACATTTGTGGTGATGATTAATACCAATGGGAGTTACATATTCATATGTATAAAAAAGAAAGTCTAAAAGCAGCAGGGAAGAAGGTACTTTTTATAAAGACTTATGTCTATCAGCTAGTTCCTTTTTATAATAATAATAATAATTAAAAAAAAAAAGCTTTGCTTGCCAGCAAATCTCCTTAGGGGTTACTTTTTAAATTAAAAACAAACTATTGTTAGTTTATTACAGTCTTTGGCTCAAAGGTAGTTGCTGAAAACTTTGTATGGGATTATGCCCATTTTGTTCCTGCAGATTTTCCATTATGGAGTGAAGGATCAGTAATATAAATGCAAGCTTTTAATTAACTTATCTAACCACCTAATCATAAATTATGTTCTGTCTCATTATTTTGGATTACATATTGCTGCAAATGTCACAAAGTTCTTCCTGTTCAAATCACTGCTCCTATTTTCTACATCAGAAAAGCAATCAGTTTATTTTATTACATGTGTAAGTAAACTCTTGATTTCTCACATAAGATTCTAGAAATTTCCTAATTATTTTGTTAAAATGACTTTTGTCGTTTTTTATGGTGGCTGATGTAGTTGGTAGATTTAAAGGCTGAACTCTTCCGAAAGCAAGAAGAATTCAAGAAGGAAAAACTTCTGAAAGATGCTGGAGTCTCTGTAAAACCCCAAACAACAAACAAGGTAGAAATAAAATATCCATCATTACTCATTATTTTTCTGTTTTTCTTTGTTTTTCTAGGCATTGCCCAGAATTGAAGAACAAGCCATTAGAAAATGTAAAAAGTTATTAATACAGTGTTTCGTTTACAGTTGTAGGACAAAAGTTGTGATGGCTTTATTTATCAAATTTCTATTGACTCATTTCTAGTTGAGTCTCTCTCACAAAAATCAAAACTAACTGTTCAATTATACTGCAAAGCTGTATTTAAATAATCTCTTAATCTAAATGAGCCCCAACCTCCTTAAATGCCAGCAAGAAAAAAATGAGCTTTGAATTTTGATAAATCCATGATCAGTTGGACTAGGAAAGCACTTTCCAGAGTCAGTGAACCTTCCTGGAAAATGCCCGGCCATCAGCTCCTATTCATTTATATGGGGGGAAATAATATCAGATGCACTGCAATCTTATACTTCAGTCTCTACTGCACTAAAACCTCTGTTCTTTTTCCTAAAATAACATATTGCATAAACCTGACTTTTCAGTCCCATTCAGACTTTGTTTTAACATTCAGACCAAATGAATTTGTGTGATCTTGTGGCTGTTTTGACTGTAGTATTTTGACAGTAGTATCTTGTGGCTTGTAGACTGTAGTATTATTGCTGTGTTTGAAGACCATGCAGCATTTTTGCCTTTACATGCAAAAAATCAGACTTGTTACTATGTTATGTGTAGAACTAGAAATAAACATCTGGAAGAACTATGCAAAAAGATCAGAATTATGTGCCATTTTGAAGAAATTAATAGGTTATAACACTGAAAAATATCAATCCCATAATTGGCTATGTAATTCTGTATGAAAATGTCAGTGACTAGTTTTATAAAAGTTATTTTTGTTGACCTTATCTAATTAAGAACACAAGTTCTCTTAGAATATAAGAGATACTGTACACTATACTTGAATCAGTACTCCTCACACTAAGTCTTTGGCATCATTCTTCCTGATAATCTTCACTTCCAAGAACAAATATGAATTATTCTTAGATTTGCTTTCCTTTTAGTAATATGTTCAGTAAGCAACTATTATCTTTATTTATAGCTGCTCAAGAATAAAACTTGTGTTCCAAATTTTTAAATAAAAAAATCATAAACTCATGTTAACCCCTTTGTTGGTTCTCCTTACTGTGCTGTCATAAATTTAAGACGCACCTGCTACTTTCCACAACACAGCAGCAGGATTATATGAAGAATGTTTAAGCAGATAAATAACTCTAGAGCCTTTCTTTTTTTTTTTTCTTTTCTTTTTTTTTAATGGTCAAATAAGGTTGAAATCCTGTGTTTTAAAAACATACGTTCCACAGAAACCAAGCATTTGGACTAAGCAGAACACAGGGGTTTCAAGTCGAGCTGAGAAAGATGTTGAGCAGAAGATAGAAGAAGATCAAACGTTAGAGAAAGCGAGGTAATTTTTAAGTTACAGCAATACAAATAAATAAGAGGAACAAACGCTTGCTAGAATTTCTTTACACTTGTAAAAAATTGCATAAAAGAAATCATACAAATAGCAGAATGCAGGTAAAAGTGGCAGCTATTCAGTTTTTACTGGTTCATTAGTTTTTCATTACTGGTTTTCACTAGTTCATTGATTGTTAATGTCTCTCCACTTGCTGCACTTTGAGACATCTACACTTCAATGATTGTATCCACAGAAATTTGACAGAGTATAGGTTTTCTTTTAAAGCATTTTCTTCCATATCAGTAAAAGCATGGATACAAACACCACAATCAGTATTTTGTGCTCCAAAGAATACTTTTTTATAATTTTTGCAGAAAACTGTCTCTTACCTATTTATATATATATGTATGTATATGTTTTTGAGGAAAATTACAGGTCAGTGACCTGAGTCGGTTAGTTGTTTAATTAAAATATGCATTGGAAATGTGACATCTGCTGGTTCTCTGCAATAAATTCCCCATCTCTTGTGAATACATAGGTGTAAACCATTCCAGGAGCTAGTTTTAAGGTATTCTCTCTGGTTTCTGTGTCCATTTAGATCAGTGGGGGGCAACCTGCGGCCCACGGGCCACATGTGGCCTGTCGGGGTAATCTGCTGGCTGGCCGCAAGACAGTGTTTACATTGACCGTCTGCAGGCACAGCCGCCTGCAGCTCCCAGTGGCCGCAGTTTACCGTTCCCAGCCAATGGGAGCTGCGGGAAGCAGCACAGGCTGCCGGGACGTGCTGGCTGCCGCTTCCCACAGCTCTCATTGGCTGGGAACAGCGAACTGTGGCCACTGGGAGCTGCGGGCAGTCAATGTAAACACTGTATCGTGGCCCGCCAGCGGATTACCCTGATGAGCCGCGTGTGGCCCGCAGGTTGCCCACCACTGATTTAGATGGTGTTTTCTGAGACATAGTATCTCATGCCTTTTATGCTGTGCTCCATATCTTGTTGCCTGAAAGTAATTACCATAGAGAGGTTCTGGGCTGATATACAGTTTATCTTGGTATTTCATCTAGACAATTGTAATTACAGAGATGTACAATACTTACATTTATATGTTGCTACCTATTTGATCATTTCATTGAAGGTGAACTATATTACTTTTTATTAAAAATTGTTCACAATACAGACTAATCAGGAATCTGTGTTCTTGGAAATGTCAGTTACAGTTTAAAACAAAATTCCTCCTTTGCTTAGCTCTTAAGATCTGAATTCTGGGTTCTACGATTCCACTTACTACAGTTGATAACTTCACTGATACCTTCAGCAGTATAAGAAAAATGGTGCTTTTCCTGCAGTGTCCCCTAAGCCATTGTTTGGTTAAAAACTCTTGCTGTTCATCTGTAAGGGAAAATATCAAACATTATTGTCATTTATTCCATTGCAGCCTAAATAATGAAAGACTATTCTGTTTGTGGTGTATTTGGAATCATACTGTAAATATAACCTGCTTTTTCTTTAGGCAGAAGCTGGAAGAGAAAGCAAAGCTGTATGAGAAGATGACAAAGGGAAACTTTCCAGGTGAACAAAACCTGCCTAAAACCAGTATATATTTTAAAAACCTTGCTTTTATTTGGTCACTCTAGAAGCTGGCCACCTGAACAGTCTCATAGTTGACAGCTGTTATGCTATAAAATACAGTACTTCTGTTAATAAATGTAGCTTTTACACTAAATACGCTTTTTGGAGGCACAGCATACAAACTAATTGATAACCATTATTTTTGCTGAGAAAGAAAAGCCAGTGCTAAGGAAAGAATATTACTTCTTGAAGGACAGTCCAGCCTAGGAAAGAAATGTGAGAATCATTTGGTTTGATCATCAAGTGAGAGAAATATATTCTGGTTTCTTAGTATAGAACTCTAGAAAACTAAAGTTACTTTGTCATGTTGACATCCTTGGCTTTTATCTGTGCTTCTGCATGCTTCCTTTTCACTATATGAAGAGTTTAACCTGGGAAAGAGAGGAGGTGACTGGCTGGTCCATGTGTGAATGCCAGTAGCTAGTAGGGTCTGACTTCTCACTTCCCAGCTTTGACAATCTCCAATCCATATACATGCTTCCACTTTCCTCTCAGCACACATCCAGTCCTTTGTGTGATGTGACAGTTAATAGTAGAAAGGCTCAAATTCAGTTTAATCCTTCAGTGCTATCTCTTTCGCTAGTTTCGATGTGCAAGATCCATTGTATAAAATGTACTCTCATCATTCTTCTCCCTTTTGGAAAGAGAACTCAAGTGACTGCTTAGGTGCATTCTACGTGCAAAATGCATCCTCATGTTACACTCAGTCTTAAGTAATTGTCCTCTATGAACACCATCATTGGAAACTGAACTATTGAATGTAGTAGCCTGCTGTACCCATTCATCTCTTTCATATTCACAGTTTGTCAAAGAACTATTTTATTCTCTCTCTAAAATAAAATTAGCAATTTTATATCTGTTTTTCCAAATGGTAGAAAGAAGGTTATCCTAACACTCACGTTACTGCCAGTTTCATTTTCATGTTAGGACTTGAATTAGTATTGTAGCTGTTAATTAGCATAAAGATTTTTTTATTTTTTTTTAAAGAAGGTGTCAGCACAGTTGCTGTGAACTCTTTTCTGGGGTATATGTAATTGATTGCTTTAAACAAATGAAGTTTACATACAGAAATGCGAATCATCCCATATAGCTGAATTTTCTTGACAGTAGATGAGATTAAAGTATTGTCTAATAGTATAGTCAAGGGCATTGTTGGCAGCTATGATTCTGGCTATTCCATATTGATTTCTTGCTCAGTCGTGTTCTTTTGATGCCTGTTATCTAAGAATTGATTTTTCTGCCCTAGATGAAGAAACTGAGGATTTGTACCTTGTGGATTTCGCTCAGAAGATCATAGACAAACGGAGAGAAATAAAAGATCTGTGCGAGAGTGAAGCTGCTAGAAAGACATCAGAACAGGAGGAAGATGAAGAGAAGACACTACCTGAAATAGAAATACCACCCCCAAAAGACCCCAGTGAAGAATGGTTGGTAATACTGTATGGACAGAACAAGTCTGACAAATCTGTTTTTATTTTTTGATAATCTTGTGTGCATTTAGTCTAGTTTAAAAAACATCTTGAATAAGGAATCATTCTGACTGATACCAGTCCATCACTTGTGATTATAACATTTTCCCTTTAAGAAGCACTTTTTTCACATTTGTCTTCTTACCCTGCAGGAAAGACTCCAGGTAGAATAGGTTATTTGTGTATAGTTTAAGATTAATTTGTTTTTTAAAATCTGTGTAAAATTTTTAGTTTAGTTTTATCTAAATGCAATTATAGTCTCTCTTCTTCTATCAAAACTAAGAGCATTGTAATCGTGTGAAGATACCTCCTCAAATCCAACTCTTTCCTTTGGAATGGATAACCACATAGGCATTATTGATCTTTATGAACTAGTTCAGGGAAAGGCTTCCATTATATAGACCAGATTATGTAGATTGATCTACTTTTTAAAATAGGGTTACATTTTCAAAGCGAGGAATGGGGAGTTTAGATGCCATTCCTATTCACAAACAAGATTTTGCGATCTGGTACCTATGCAGTTGTTTGAAAGTCAAATAGTAAAAATTTAGCTTCTTGGGGTTTTTTTTTTGTTTTTTTTACATTTAAGATCACTGAGACAAAATGTTAAATTAGGTAATCTACCAGTTATTTTTCTTTTAATGCTATTCTATAAAAGAGGTGAATGCAATAGGTATTAGAATACGTAATTTATATGCCTTATGGAACACATTATTTTCCCTTACTTTCTCATCTCTCAGCAACATTAACTTGCTTAGTGCAGCTGGACTTGGGAATTCTAGGAGTTTCAGTGTGTGGGGGAGGCTGGGCTGTATGAGAGCTAAATCATTCTTACCTAGTGCTTAAGGTAACAAATTTAAACTGAGCCTTTTTAGATTGAAAGGGGAAAACCTTCAATCTTCCAGAAAGAGACCCAGAAGTTCAAAGTTTCTCAAACTGCTAGCAAATTTGCAAGTAACATTTCCTTCCACAACAATGTATTTTAAACGGATGGCCCACAATAGATGCTGTTTTAAGTACCCAGGGTTTTGAGATGTATTGATCAAGAAAATGTGCTATGAATAAGAATGATATTAAAAGGGCTCATACATTTTCCTGCTGAAGTTATGGGAGTTCTGATCCTCTTATCGATGCAGACTGTACATCTGGTGTGTCCTGCATGGAAGCATTCTTTAACTAGACTAATTTTTATTGAAATAACTCTGCCCCCTTTGAAGTAAGTATTTCCTCTGATCTCATGACTTTCAAAGCAGCAGTAGTTTTGGGTTTCTGGCATTACTGAATGTACAGATTTTCTCTATATGGAGGAAGACAGTGCGTTACCAGCATTTCTTTAAGCTCCAGAGTTTTAAACTATCCATAAAAACCCTTCTGTAGTTAAGTTCCAGGCGGCCAATAATCTTTCAGCAAAGACACGGTAAATAATTATGAAACCTAGCTAGCCAGGTATTTTTTTTTTTCCTGTCTGTTCATAAAGAAAACAGTGTAGGCAGATGGAGGTTTTACTCCTGGTAATCAGGTTTGAACAACAATAACTAGTCTGAAAAATAGCATTCCAGTTTTTCAATTTATTAGTTTTAAGGTAGGAGATAGTCATTTTGTTTCTTACAGCGTACAAGGGGAGTGTGCCCATGGTGAAGAATCAGAAAGAAATATGTGCTACTGGTATACTACTAGATCTAAGGTGAAACTGTCAAGTTATTCTGTGCCCTTATCAAGTTTAAATATCAGAAATGTAAGCCAATCTGTTCACCTTCCATATACTTTTTCAATACTTGTCTTCACCCCACCTCAGTAAAATGAAAAAGACAATTCTAATTATTTACTGATAAGCCCCCAGGAACATTATTGTCTCAGCACTATGGGGCTCCAATCTGATTGGAAGCCTTTGGGCACTACCATAGGATTAATATATACTACTAATTATTCTCCAGCTACGTATATACTCTTGGACCATAGGTCACAGATAGAAATATTTTTTTCAATTTTCGTATTGTTTACTTGGTAAAAATAAATGGCACTAATACTAAGCTCTAAGGGTATGTCTGCACTGCAGTTAGACCCACCAGGTGGTCCGTGGCAGCTGACTTGGGCTCGGGCTAAGAGGTTGTTTAATTGCAGTGCAGAAGTTTGGGCTCGAACTGGAGCCCGCACTCTGGAACCCTCTCCCCTTGCAGGGTCTTAGAGGGCAGGCTCCAGCCTGAGCCTGAATGTCTGCACCACAGTTAAACAGCCCCTTAGCCCAAGCCCTGCAAACCTGTGTCAGTTGGCACGGGCCAGCCATGGGTATCTAATTGCAATGTAGACATACCCTCAGTGCCCTTAATGTTTATTTTAAAAGCATAACTTAATGACAGAATAAATCTTTAAAAGTTTAGTATTTGGGGACTATTTTATACTCTGGGTCAGCAATACTTTGTTGGCTGTATGTCTTGAGTTTCCTAAAATGGTATCACTAGAACTACTTGATGCTAAAGAACTCTTTGTAGCATTGGTGAACAATAAGTACCTCTGTTTCTCATTCTCCTCACAGTTTTAAGCATTCACTATGATAAATAGCTTTACACAAAGTACACTATGTAAAGGGACCTTCAAAGGAACAACATTCTGCTTGATTTACTAGGCTTTTGTTAAACCACTTGAATGATCACTGAAGCTCTTAGTAAATGAGCCACAGACTGATAATTGCATTATACTATAGCAATTTAATATTTGTGTGAGAAGTCAGTGCTGCATCATTATGTTCACCACAGGAAGCAGATATTATGCTTTCAATTTTATTTTGACTTGGGAGCTACGTGACATCATAACTTGTAAACAGTTTTCAAACTGTCTTATCATGAAGGAAGACAGCTGTCTCAAAATGAGATTAAATAAAATATATCAATGTGGTGTATCTGTTACAAACCCTGTTAAAAATGTGTCCTTTAAATTGTTACACTAGGCTTGTTAACTGTTAGGATGGTGGTAACTTTAGCACCCTGAATGTGAATATTCTCTATGGAAAGTATTCAGTTACTTGTATCCTTTGGACAAGAGTTCTGTAAATCTGAGAATATAAATTGTGAGAAATTCTTGTTACTTTGATTACAGGGTTGATTATGTGGATTCCTTGGGCCGATCTAGACGCTGTATGAAGAAGGATTTGCCAAATCTGCTTAAAATGGATAAAGAACTTCAGGGGAAAAGGTATGGCTTCTCTAAGGAAAGTATTTTCTCCCACAGGATTTCATAGACGTGTTTTATGGCAGGAAGAGAGTTTGTACACACACTTGGCAGAGTTGTATAATGAGATTAACTTCATTGAAGCCATCAAAGTCTTTTGACTTTGGTGTAACTGCAGAATTTGGTCCAATGTATCCAAAAAAAGAAGAGGAGAATAGTCAGTGCATGATGGATTGATTTAAATCACCAATTCTAATAATGATTTAAATCAACAAGCAGGAAACCTTGATTTAAATCACCAATTTGAATCATGGTTTTGCATTTGTACTTTTAAATTATGTTAAAAGGCAGCAGGAAGGCAACACACATACACACCACTCATCACTGTTGGTAACCATTAAAACATGATGCTTTGCAAATCAGCCTTTACACTGAATTTGGTGCTGCTGTTTGGTAACTAGGAAGATACACTGTCTATACACAAAAACAACAACGAGTCCAGTGGCACCTTAAAGACTAACAGATCTGTTTTTATTCATAGATTGGGAGAGAAAAACAAGCTTTCCTGCTTTTTCAACTCCATTTGGTTTTTTTATTTTTAAATTAGCTTGTCATTGAACTGAACTAGTTGAAAAAACTGAAATAAAGAAACTATTCTCTCTGCCCCTGTAGAAGAGAGTGCTGATGTCAAAAACTAGTTTAGCACTTCAGCAAACTCTGGGTCCAGTTCCATAGTCTGACTTTCTTTAAAATTTAGCAGCAAACATGTACTGCTTAATATTATTTTTTGTATTTAATCTAAATGATTTTAATAGTTTGGACCTTAACATTGGATAAATTAGATTTTAAAAAAATCAAATTTTAAATGTTTATTTTTAAAAAATAAACCTGTATTTAATTTAAATTAAAAAAATCTTTTCTGTTTTTAAAATCATCAACTTCTATCCATCCTTATTCAGTGTGTTTAGAGTGTCACAATCTTTTGTGTGGTTTTATCAAAACTTCCTTTGTCAACACATGCATTTGTCCTAAGCTATTTTATTTCACTGGCAACTGAATTAATCCTCTGAAAAGTGTGTGGCATATTCACATTTTAAATGGTACCTGAGTTGAGGCCATGTATGCTAAACTTAATACACAGAATTTTTATAAACTATTAAAGCTCAGATTCTGATGGAAAATGCTAATGAAATCCAAAAACTTCATTGTAGAGCATTGGCTCATATTAGCTCCACAAACAAAGGTCTATTAAATTAATTTAGCAGCCTATCGGGAACTTGACTTATTTTTTTAAAAGTTACGGTCCTTCTATAGAAGTTGTATTTTAATGTGCCTTAAACCTAAAGAATCCCAGCAGATCTATATTTTTTGTCCTGGATGATCTGATTTTAAGGTTTTTAATAAAGTCCAATACATGACATTCTGAGTGAATTTGTTAGAACTCCAGTTGTATAGTTAATTATAGCAATTCTGATAAAACTAATGGCAGAAATGAAAATTATATTGGAACAAAATGTACCATAATTGAGCACTTATATTATTGAGTTGTAAGCGTTCCTTCTTGAAAATTTTACAGCCTGTTCTTTATAGTTCGAAACAGAATGAAGAATATAAAATTGCTTAGGAAGTACATTCTCTGTGTTCACCTGGATAAGTGGTCTGCAATCATATTTTGATCTAACTTAGCTAGATAATGGGGGAGAGAACCGTTTCTGCCTCCCAAGGAAAAACATAAAAGTATTTTCCCCCTCAGCTGCTGATGTTGCTCATTTAAATGTTTCATTTTTTACATTAAACAAATAAATGCTGTTCACGTTTTTGTATCCACTTCACATTGGTGAAAGTGTTGCTGTTATTCTGCTTTTGGTGACTATTCTGTTGAGCACTGGTCATCTCCCACTTATTCTATTTTCAGTTATTAGTGACTTCACAATGCCTATGAAAATGGTATCAACTTCTTCTTAAGGATCTTTAATTAGAATTAGTTTACTGTGCTTTGCCAGATGTGGTATTGTATCCTTTCCTCCCTCTTCTATCCTGCAATGTACTATAAATCCTCATACTGTGCTCACGGCTGTAGTATCTTGGCGCCTTCCATTAGCTTTCCGCAAACCAAGTCCACGCTCCTGATGAGTAATTAAAAATGGCTTAGCCGTTGTCATACTTCCATTGTTCAATACCAAAGAACCTTTACACTTTGTTTGGGTTTTGTTTTTCACTAGACAAGGCATTGAGGTGAAGACTCTATCGTCTGAAGATATGAGACGAGAACTTCAGCGGCAGCAATGGGAAAGAGAGGAAGAAGAAGCCCTAAAGAAACCTGTGGGACCCATACATTATGAGGACATTAGAGAAAACGGTTTATATTCGTTCCTTTGTATGGCTTATCTTCACTGTAGGATGGTTTGTAGAGGAAGAAGGTGTAGTTTACCTCTAAGTATAAAAACTACTCCAGTATAAATATATTTTCACCTTGTTAAACTGTGTTAGAAATAGCCACTTAATTTACAAAGGGATAGCATGCATTCATCTCCTGACTGAAAAAATAAATCAGGAAAAAACCTCCTAGTCCCTAAGAAAAGTTGCTGGGAAGCGTCATCACGTGAGTCAATTAAAACTAGACTGGCCATAACCCTCTAATGCTATTGGCAGGCAGGGCAATGGGCCGGATGACCTAATGAGTCTTTCTCCAATAACTTACACCCTGGTGATTTCAAGGTTGCTGCAGCTGTAAATCTGATGAAACCAACTGTTGAAAATTGTTCCTTTCAGAGGCCAGACAACTAGGCGTTGGCTACTTTGCCTTTGCTCGTGATAGAGCACAGAGAAATAAGCAAATGGAGACTTTGGAAATGCTGAGAGAGCAGGTATGAAGCTAAAAGTAGATCCTTAGCCTGTGCTGGGACCAGCCTTGGCTCCCCATCTTTATATATTATTTTGGAACCTTTGCACTGTATACCGGGTAGTAAATGTGTTGGAAAATAGTAGCAAAACCAAAACTACTTGTGTAAGGTGTTGAACTGCAGAGCATGGACACCTGTAATTGTCCACTCACGATCTTGATGCCGAAAGGCAAAATATTTAGAAATAAATTTTCAATGGAAGTAACCCGAGGTCTGCATGCAAGAAAGTGTTGCCTTGTACATATATTTACTGTAGTTGTGTCAACAGATGGATATCTAGACTTCAGAATAGCCACTTGCATGCACAGTTGCAATAATTGCACATGTGCAGCCTTGATAAATACACAGCCATGGCTCCTACCCACTGGAATTTGGCCCTTAAAGTTGAAGAACTACTTTTCATTATTACATTTTGTATTAATATCTGAGTATAATATAATATTAAGAATGCTTTTATCCCATCAGTATAGGGGAAGGGTTGCAGGAACAGGTACAAAGTTACATACATAAAACAAGTGTTGAAATCCTAAAATAAACCCCTTCCCCCATTTTGGCTTTTCATTCATGGATTTCTTTTGAGTTGAGGTTAGGTGTAGCTTCAGTGAAAAACCTGTTTCTTCTACTCTCTTGAAGTTTTCATCTTATATGTGAAATAAGTATCTTTACATCTCTTCCTCATGCCTCTCTATAGCAAGCTACTTAGAACAGAGACATGTTTTGTTTGGCATACTTAGCCAAATGTTACTGTACCGTGCTCACAGCTTAAACCAATGGCAGTAAGTATTATGCCTGGTAGTGTGTGCAAGTTTGGATTCAAGGAATGGGGTCATTTTCCTCCCCATTGAGACAATGCAGCTGATATTCAGTTCATTTCTGGGGATAATTGAAGGAGATGCACAGTTCATTATAACCAAATGCAGGATTAACTAATGAACATTTTTGGTTACTGTTAAGACCACAGACCAAAGGACTAAACGTGAACATTTAAAGGAAAAACGAAAGGCAGTTCTGAAAACAAGGCTTTCTAAACTTAAAGCAAGAAAGATAAAGAGACTAAGAGACGATGGACTAGAGGAAGAGGCAAACAAACTGGAAAATGAAGGTATGGTCTGTAACAAGTATCTTTGTTTTAAAACAATCATTCTCCCTCAGTATCGTGGAAAAAATATTTTGCTCAGATGAAATATCTGTGTTTGAATACCAACATTATATATTTTGAATATATTGAATTATATGGCTTTGAAAAAATTAACAGTTTAAATTAATTGCACATAGGTATAAAATCATATATACTAAAAATAGTGCTTCCCGTGGAGAGGCAAGTGTTGTGTTGTGTGCATTGTACTGCCTTTTAGGTTCACACATGCCAGGAAGAATTATGCAGGTCATTCTAAGCTAGAATTGCATGTATTTAAATGGTGATTTTAAAGATAGCCAATTAATTGGCTATGAAGAAATACAAGCAATTTGTGCAGAGCTATCTTGTCAGGAATGTCAGATACTGTATATTCATAAAATTAAAATGATTGTAGGTGGTAATTAAGGGCCAGAATCTGTATTCAGATGACTGTGCACAACATACATTTTCTATTAAGCCTATAGCTTAATTTATGTATGCAGAAAAACCTCTTCTGCCATGTGATTTTTGTGAGAGTTGTTTTAAGTAAAAGGTTCGGTATGTACAAATGGACACATTCCAAAGCTTATTTGTAACTTGGTGGTACAAAAAGGAGTTGTAGTACCCTCTAGTAACAGCAGTCTGTGGGTGAGCATGATGAGATTATGTCTTCACTGCAGACTTAAATTGAGTTATCTACACTTAAATTAGCTCCACTTGAGTGAGAGAGGCCACACTGTGGAATCACAGTCAAGCTACACAGAGTGGTTGTGTTAGTGGCTAAGTTGTACCAACTCAGGCTTTAGCCTAGACCCTCTGATGGGTCAGCCACCACACTCAAATTAAGAGTTTTTGGGTGGATGAAATTCAAATTAGGGGCAACACTCAAGTTACAAGCTCTGAAAAAGGTGAATGTCAGAAATCATATAAAGGGAATGTGGCCTCATTTCACAACTTGCAGACATAAATTTTTGAGTTCTAATCCCAGCTCTACACTGGTTCCATCTATGGTATTGAGTCACGCTATCTGCTTCCTCATCTGTCAAATAGAATTAGGACTTTCCACCACCCAGTAATGAGAGAGTGCTTAAATGTAAAGTTTCAGAGTAACAGCCGTGTTAGTCTGTATTCGCAAAAAGAAAAGGAGTACTTGTGGCACCTTAGAGACTAACCAATTAATTTGAGCATGAGCTTTCGTGAGCTACAGCTCACTTCATCGGATGCATACCGTGGAAACTGCAGCAGACTTTATATATACACAGAGAATATGAAACAATACCTCCTCCCACCCCACTGTCCTGCTGGTAATAGCTTATCTAAAGTGATCATCAGGTTGGGCCATTTCCAGCTATTACCAGCAGGACAGTGGGGTGGGAGGAGGTATTGTTTCATATTCTCTGTGTATATATAAAGTCTGCTGCAGTTTCCACGGTATGCATCCGATGAAGTGAGCTGTAGCTCACGAAAGCTCATGCTCAAATAAATTGGTTAGTCTCTAAGGTGCCACAAGTACTCCTTTTCTTAAATGTGAAGTGCTTTGGAAATGCAGAACAGTAGTATATCAGTGTTAAGTATTATTCTTACAGAGAAGAATAAGAACACAACTTTTATCAAAGATCACTGAAGCAGAGATACATGCAAGTGATATTTTCACTCTTCCCTAATTTCCCATCATCAGTAGACCACTCAGCCTATTCCTAGGTATGTTATTAGGTAATACGTTTCCAGCAGTCTCTTCTTTTACACTCAAAAGCTAATGAAGGGTTGTGGATTCATTTCTAGATTATCTGGCTTATCCACTATGGCTTCTGAACTAATACACAGTAAATTAAAAACAAACAAACAACACCTCCCCAGTCAGATGTATTTCATTCTGATTAGATAACTGCTGTAGACGTTATCAGTGTGAATGTGGAGTAGCTCTTGTCATGTATCCTATGATATTTGAAAAATAAACCTTTATCCTGTTAACAAATTTCTTTTCCCTTTTTCAAAAGAAGAGGAAGCAGTTATTGGACCACTACCAGCTGAACCAGAAGCCCCTGTGGCTCCAAGAGTTGCAGAAAGTAGAAAAGTGGAGGTGGTCATTCAGGAGAGAAAAGATACAAAGGCTGGTGTGCCCTATGTTCGAGAGTGGGATAAAGGGAAAGGTAAGAAAACTGAACTATAAACGTAGCATGGTATAGTCAAAAACACTGTTTATTAATGGGCTCAGCACTACTGTCATTTTTATACATGATGAAGCTGAAAAGTAAAGAAATATACTTTCCCTTTCCCTGTCAAATTTACATGGTCATTACTTTATGGTGAGCCTAGAAAGAGATTGACAGCCTTGATCATGACATGAGCAGCTGCTGTAACGTATCCTAGTTTTACCATTGACACAGGTTATTGGGTTCCATACAAAGATACTGATGGAGGAAGGTTGAAGTGTGAATTATTTTAGTTTGTAACCTATCCTGATATGCAAAATAATTGCTGTAACTTTATACGATGTGGTATAGATGGGCAGGATGTGTCACACAGAAGAGCCTAAACTCTAAATGTATGAGTAGGTAGAGTATTGCACTAAATTACATAAACAGACACCATGGAGGCAGATGGAGTAGTGCGAGGTCACTTTCCCTAAAATGCTTCATGGTCAAAGTGAATTTTGAGGGAAGGATTTGAGGGAAAAGCAGAAAGGCTCTTGGCATACAGCAAGTGGAGGCTGTTCCATGATTCTTGTGAAAAAAGGTGCATGTAAGAAGATAAGAAAAGGGGAAAAAGAGGAAACAGTGAGAGAGATGTAGGCAGCGTTGGGCAGATCCTTAAAGGTGTGGACAAGCAGTTTGAACTTAATGCAAGAGAAGTGTAAGTGTTTGTGTAATAGAAAGTAGTAAATTTGGAACTGAAGTGAGGGCCCTCCCTCCTAATGAGGTATAGTTAAATATGTGGCTACAGCAATTTGTATCAAATTGTCAAGAGTTAAGTGATGGTAGTTAAGACCACCATATTAATTTATACTGAATAAAAATGATATTTGACTTTTGGCCTTCTGATTATGAGGTGACATCAACCCCACTACAGCACATGAGGGTAACTTAGTTTAACTGGCCAAACTTTTTCAGAGAAGTGAACAGAAGTGCTCTATGAAGGAAGGAAGTAACTTTATATCTCAATCATTAATGTAGAAGTGCCCTCCGCTCTTCCCATGCCTTTATTCATGCTGTGGTTACACATGGAAGCATCTTCCTTTTCCTGAATGCCAAGTGACTTTGCTGTCCTTCAAATCCTTTCTCAAAACTCACTCCTTTCATCTCACTCCCTGCCATTAATCTAATCTCAGGTACTCTGGCCTGAGAGCACCGAAGGAACATTGTGACACAACGCCTGACCTCTAGGCGCTAGAAAACCACTGGAACAACACTGGGATTTACAAAGCCTGAGTTAGGCACTTAGGCACCTTAGACCAGGGGTGGGCAAACTTTTTGGCCTGAGGGCCAAATCGGGTTTCCAAAATTGTATGGAGGGCCGGTTAGGGGAGGCTGTGCCTCCCTAAACAGCAAGGTGTAGCCCAGCCCCCGACCCCTATCCAACCCCCCATGCTTCTCGCCTCCTGATGGCCACCCCCCCCCGGGACTCCTGCCCCATCCACCACCCTCTGTCCCCTGGCCGCCCCTGGACCCCCATTACCTGAGTGCCCCCGGCCTCCCCATTCAATCCCTCCTATCCTTCCTGACTGCCCTCCCAGGACCCTGCCCCCGGCCCCTGACCACCACCCCAAACTCCCCTGCCCTATATCCAACGCCCCCTGCCCTCGCTGCCTGGAGCACTGGTGGCTGGTGGTGCGGCTGCACTAGGACAGGCTGAGCTCTGCAGCTGCGCTGCCCCAGGAGCTCACAGCCCACCCCCCCACCCCCACCCCCAGAGCACTGTGCCAGCAGCACAGTGAGCTGAGGCTGCGTGGGAAGGGGAACAGCAGGGGAGGGGCTGGGGGCGAGCCTCCTGGGCCAGGAGCTCAGGGGCTGGGCAGGAGGGTCCTGAGGGCTGGATGTGGCCCGCGGGCCATAGTTTGCCCACCTCTGCCTTAGACTGTGATTCACAAAAGGCAACACACTAGATGGAGAGCTGTCTAACCTAGCCCGGGGGGAATGCTGACAAGAGGGCTGTATACATTTGCACATGTGCTCGCTCGCTCTCTCTCACCCAGTGACTGTTCCGCTGTAGATAAATACTTAAATAGTCATTGAGCCACAGAGCAAGAGAGAGAGACTCTGTAGCCTAGTGGTTAAGACACCCACCCGGGAGGTAAGAGACTCCAGGTCTGCTCCCCCTGCTCTAATCATTCCATTATTTATCCACAGTGAAACAGCTTCAGTAGGGGAGCCAGTGAGCCCCACATCAGAATATCCCACAGTGCAGTGATTAGAGTGCTCTCCTGAGAGGTGGGAGACCCTTGTTCAACTCCTTTCTCCCTCTCTGCCTAAGGGAGGAAATTGAACTTGGGACTCCCACATCCCAAGCAAGTGCTCTAACCACTGGGCTAAAATTTATAAGGTGGGCTGCACCACCCTCATGTCTACCAGATCAGGCCCTGCACACAACTTAAGTGGGCAAATGCCTATCTTCCCTTGGTTTTTGAATCACTCTGGGGCATAGGTGGGAGATACCTAGAGGGAGGCAGTGTGCACATGGCCAGAGGCAGAAACATAGGTGCCTAGGGACAGTTGTCCTGAAAATTTAGACAGTGAGTTTAGGTGCCTACAGGGGTGTCACAGTTCTCAGGCTGTTGACAGGCCCCTCCTACTGGGCTGGCACTGAAAAATCCTTAGGGCTCTCCCATCTGCCTAGGTAGGGGTCCCTATGATACGAATTGTGTTACAGTCCTTTTATGTTGAAGTGACTCTTGGCTCCCATTCCCCAAGTCCGTTGTGTATGGTCTCAGATTCCCTAACCCCAGAAGGGGGTAACGCCACCAACTGCCTGTTAGGCTCACCTTGGGACTTGCTGATTCTACTGTATGTGGCCAGTACCCCAGGGTGGTTGTCTCCTTGTAGGCAAAAGGTGAGGGGCTCCCTGAGCTGTTCCCGGAAGGCTTCCAGAAGTCATCTTCGGGAACTGTAGAGCAGCCATCTGCTCTCTCCCAGACCTGCCCAGAACCTGTTGGGAACTTCCTGGTTTTAAGCCCTTTATTCCACCCTTGACATGATTTATAGGGCCGGAGGAGTGAGGCCAGCCTTGCCCACAGCAGCTCTTTAACCCCTTCCTTACCGGTTCAGTGTTTATACCTCCTGTCACAGAAGTTTAGGCAGCAGTTTTGTGCATCGCACGGGAGCCAAAACTACGTCTTGGGTACCTAAATTAGGGAATTAAGTACTTAACTCCTTTTGAGCATTCAGGCCTCTCGCTTCACATTCTGGCACCTGGTTGTTAAATAAAATAAAAACAGATGACGTATATAATCATGTACCGTCTACAGTATTCCCCTCCTACTGATTATCTGTGCATCTCCCACCTTCCTGCCCTTAGCCAACATGATCTTTTGTCATTATTCTTTGCTCTGTCTTTGTGGTTAGATTGTAAGGACCTCTGGCACTCTGACAAAAACTTTGTCACCCTCTATAACTTGGGAAAAAAATGTTAGTCAAGCCCCCTGCGCTCATACTTGTGGGGGTCATCTTTTTTTTTTTTTAGTCTGTGTTTGTACAGCACCTACTACAATGGGGACATGAGCTATGACCGGGACTCCTAGATGCAAGAAGTAATGGGCTTAAATTGCAGTAAGGGAGATTTAGGTTAGACATTAGGAAAAATTTCCTAAGTGTAAGGATATTTAAGCACTGGAACAAATTACCTCGGGCGCTTGTGGAATCTCTGTCCGTGGAGGTTTTTAGGAACAGGTTCGACAAACACCTGTCAGGGATGGTCTAGGTCAAGGGTTCTCAACCTTTTTCTTTTGAAGCTCCCGCAGCAGGCTGTAAAAACCCCACTGCCCACCTGTGCTACAACAACTGGTTTATCTGCATATAAAAGCCAGGGCCGGCGTTAGGGGTAGCAAACAGGGCAGTTGCTTGGGGCCTCATGCCACAGGGGGCCCTGCAAAGCTAAGTTGCTCAGGCTTTGGCTTCAGCCCAGGCGGTGAGGCTTTGGCTTTCTGCCCTGGGCCCCAGCAAGTTTAATGCCAGCCCTGCGTGGCGGACCCCCTGAAACCTGCTCGTGGCCCCCTTGTTGAGAACCACTGCTCTACAAATAGTGCATAGACCTAAATTACAAATAAAATTCGAAAAAATAGTTACAAATCAGTGATTTGTAAATCAATTTGTACAGTGTAAGATGTGCAGTTTCTTGCTCTGTTTCGAAACTTCTGTTTGCTACAGTTAATATTTGTATTGGAGTAGTGTAAAAAAGCCGTCTTCAGAACTAGAGCCCCTTTTTGCTATATGTTGTACAAACCCACAGCACCTGCCCCCAGGAGCTTATAATCAGTTGACAGGTTCCTGTACCACTGTACATGGGGTCAAAAGCTGTTCAGTTCATCTTCAAAATAAAATGTATTTATTGTGAACTTGAGCTGTTGTCGCATCATTTTGTAGCTACTTTTAAAAATTTGTCATGGGAAATGATTGACAGTAACAGAAGTTAAAATGCCTACCACCGGAGGGTATAGCACATTCTGACATTGTTGACTACCCGAGCATAATTGTGATTTTTTAATATTTTTGGGTTCTTACTGCTTTGATCTCATTTAGAAGGTGGGCTTCCCCTTATAACTAGCAACTTTCTTCTTAAAATAACCAACATTCTTTAAGATAAAGGGTAAAAGTTGTCTTTAAAATTTTAAGTGATTTGGTTCCTGAGGTTTGAAGCAAGTAGAGTGTCAACTTAATACTGAGGAAATTAAGTGAAAGGCTCTGTTGCAGATTATTTCAAGCAATTCAGTTTTCCATTTCTGTTAAACGTTGAAGGAGAAATTCCTTCACAGGAAGGGAACATAAATGATCTTTGTTAAGTAAAATTTGTTTGTTACCATGTTTTTCCTATCTAATAGAGTTTACTTTTGGACAATGGTCAAAGAAACGTGCAGATGAACGAGATCCAGAATTTGCACCACCTTCCAATTACTTCGTTTGTCAAAAGAAAGCCAATAACTACCAAAGCCAGAGTTGGAACAAGCTTGGATCCTCTCCTGAGAAACTGGGACAGGAGTCAACACAGAACAAGCAGTTTCCATCGATGCAGAATTACTGCAACAGCTCAGAGGAACAACAACCAGTTTACCAAAGTCTAGATGACATGTTGTCTTACTACAAACAAATGACTTGAGCTTATCGAAAGCATAAGCAAGAATCTTAACTTAAATAAGTGAAATAGAATTATGTTCTTAGCATTCACCTATTGTTTTCCCCAGCTTTGGGGGAAATAAGGTTCCTGTAAGTAGATATCTTATTAATTAAAGAAATCTGTTATGTGAAGTAAGGCTGTCTGAACTGTATCACACAACAGCCACGCATTTGCTCCATCAGTCCTGTATTGTATTAAAAGGATAAGTTTTGATGGTGGTATTTGATTGTGGAATTTGACACTTATTCTTTACTCTCTAACCCTATTCTTTGTTGTTGTCCTGCATTTTGCCCCTATTTTGAAATTTACAAATAGAGATGTTGTTTTAACTAGATAAAGCTTGTTTTAGTCCTTTTTTACGTGACACTTCCTCTCCCCCCTGCCCAAAAAAAAAGGGATGTTGTTATAAGAGCTAACTTCTAAGAAGTGTCAAATTGAGAATACTCTGACAAACTGAAAATCAAGTCCATTGATAATATGGTCAAATACTTCTAAAGAAACAACATGCAGCCAGTTACCCCTATTTGCTAATTAAACCGTCGAGTGTTAAATACAAAACCCATTTACCAACATACTGACATTACTTTTATATGCTATTGCAATAGTTGTAGTGTAACCAAATTGATGTGCACACTACTACTACACTTCAGTTAGCTAAATAGACAGTGGGCGGTGGTTGATATTTAGAAAAAATAAATTCTGATTTCAGGGGGCAGTTTGGATCATTGGAGTTTGTATTTTGAAAGCTTATACAAGGACACCAAGATAGAAGAGTAAATTTTGAAATGAAATTTCCCAAATTGATAGTATTTATAAGGTTAAGTGACAGTGGCAAAGTGATAAGCACGGCAGCAGACACTGCAGTGGGCATGGAGACAGTCAATGTTTTATTCTTGTAATAGTGCTTTTCATCCTAGAGTCTGAGTGCTTTGCAAAGGTTGGTAAATAAGAGTATCCCCATTTTACCAATAGAGTCAGGAGTGCCAAAGTAACTTTGGTTTCATATTTCTGTTAAATAGATTTAGTGCTTGTAAAAGGTGCTGCAGATTGAAAAGTTTAATCCACCCAGTGTGTACAGTTCAGCTAACAGTGCAAACTTCTATGCCTTCCTCTCTGATGTTTCAACCCTGACCGGGACCCATTTTTAAGGGTTGAGAGGAGACGTCCACCCCCCTATCCCTTTCATCCTCTGAGTTTCTCCCAGTGTGAAAGAATTTGAAGCAGCAAACTAGAAGCGAACTGTTTTGATAATAATTGTTTGGGCCATCCAGTCACCTCTCTCCTTCCTGCAAAACAAAAACACATAACCATGGATTTCTTTCTAAAGAACTCAAAACAATTAGCCAGTTTACACTGAAGTAAAATGAGAGGAAAACGTTCTAAATCTGGCCACTTTTACTGACAGTCAATTTTTTTAACTTTTTTTATAGTGATAAGGTGGCACAACAAAAATGGATGTTTTTCAGCTCTGATCTCTCTGGTTTATGTGTCAAAGTTAATGCCCACCAGATGGCAGCCTAGTATTTACTTGCTAGTAACAACTCACTGCAGTTGTTTTCATCCATGTGGACAATTTATGTACCATTCCCTTCCCAGTAGCATTTGAGGAATTACCTGTATGCATCTCCAGTATATTGACAGACTATTATAGAACCCATAACAATTATCCCAAATGCTACACTGAACAATGTATAGCTCAGGATCTCTGGGCTAGTACGCAGCCCTCTCTACATTTAGGCAGCTGCATTCAAGAACGACACCTGCAGATGGAACCCAGAGCTGAACGTGGAACGGGCAGGGCAGTCTCAATGGAGTGCCATTAGTTGTGGAATTTGCAGACATTATGCTGAGGTTAAATCTTGCAAACTTTAGGAACTAATGCATTTTTGAACTCATGTAGCAAATAGCTCAGCTATACGATGTCCCCAGCACTGTGCCCCTGGAATAAATAACCTAGATTCCTCTTATAAATAAACAGCTTCAGTGTATGAGGGACGGGAGAATGGTTTGTTAGCCTAGAAATGTTGACATATCATTTAAAGAATGTAATGGTAGCTAGAATGTATGGCAGTGGAATCTGTTGAAAAACACAATTGGCTTTTGATCAGAGATTCAAGTGTCAAAGTCCTTTACAAATATTAACTAAACACCTTCAGGAGGTAGGGAAGTAAATATTATCATCTCCATTTTATGAGAAGGGAAATTGAGACCGGTTATGTGACATGTTCAAGGCCACAAAGAACCACCAGCAGAGGAGGATAAGGATTTGGGAGTTCCTTTCCCAGTCCTATGTTCTGGCCACTAAGCCACGCTAACTCTGTACTCCTATATAATTCTGAGGCTCTCTTTTCCCCTAATTTACTGCTTGTCAATTTACCAATCAAAATATGGGGAGGACTCTTCTTCCCTCGCAGAATCAATTGAAGCCTAAGCCCATTGTGCACATTCTTAAATTCCTCTTAAATTTTGGGCCAGAGTAGTTTTGAAACATAGGTGAGCAATGCTGTGTAAAAAGCAAGTGGTTTATACTATAGGGTTCTGACCTATTGTGACATGTAAATGTTCAAGTTTTAGAATGTAGAACTTGGAGCAAGTACCCTGTTCTGTTCTCTTTGGCAACTAATATAGCTTATAATAGCAACATTCGTGTTCGGATTACCTTTTAGGGGGTTGGGTTTCTTTAATCAAGAGTAGGCTGCATTTAAAGCTGTGGGTTTGATGCATCTTAAATGATCGAGGTAAGAAATTCAAGATACTTTACTGCAAAAAGTTCTAATCTACTGTTGGTTCCCATTTTGAAGCTGTGTTTTGTCATTACTTACTGAAAAATAAAATCTCTGGTGTTCATTAACTAGATGCTAAATTGTACTTAGTATTTGTACTAGACTTGTGTTCTGATCAAAACCACATCCGGAGTACCAAATAAAACCGGTTAGGAAAACCAACAGTTGGTTGCAGCTAAGTGAGCAAATCACCCAGGCTGGAAAAGGGTTATGGCCTGGTTAAAACACAAGACGCAATTAGAGCTAATAAACATGATGTCTAGAGGCCCAGTGCAGATTTCCTTGTCTGAATGTCTTGAATAATTTGGTATTGGACTTGTGCATGTGAGCTCACTAGTGGATTTTTCTGCACATATATCACAATCTGGCCCTAAATATCTTGCGCAATTAGGAATAAAGGGTGGGTTTTTAAAGGTGCCAGGCACCCAACTCTTGCTAAATTTTAGTGGGATTTAGGTACCTAACTCCCCGGGGCCTCTTTAAAAATCCTAGCCTAAAGGTATAAGCTGAGCCCACAGAAAGATATGGCAGCTAGAAAGTAGCAAAATACCTTGTGTGTTGGACATTTAACATTCTTTTAAAGTGGAAAAGTCGACGTGACTGCTGTAATAGACCTGCAGCAGTATGTCATCTAGTCCATTCGTCTTCCACTGTAGGAGTGTCTCCGCCAGCTCAGACTTCAGTACTTTGTCCAATTCAGCTTTAAATGACCCAAGCAATGTGGCTCATTAGGGTGTTAATCATGGAATCCTACTCAAATTCCAGGATGAGACAGCCTGCATAGTTTAAACACCACACTAGCATTTATTTATTGTCCTAAGCTGGTGTGCTGTGTTGCTATACACTTTTACACTGCCTTTGGATTCCACACCAGAAGTGGCTGCATTTCTGCAATGGGTGAAGCAATTCCTGCATGCAAGTTTTTATCATCTTTCTGGGTAATATGTTTCCATTACTACTTTCCTCCTAAGATCTCAACACTTTGCAAATATTCAGGAATCAAGACTCGCATCCCTGTTCTGAAGTAGGGGAGTTTTGCTGTCCCCACTTTACAGATGAAGTGAAATTGTAGCACACTATGTCTATCATTCAAAGTCGCAGCATGTCTGTGGCGGAGCAGAGCCTTGAACTCAGGTCTCTTGTCTCCCGGGTCTGCATTATTTGGAGTAGAAACAGAGATTTAATTGGATCTGAGCAGACTCCTGCAAAACAGCAGCCAGAATGTTTTAAATTTTGGGCTCAACTTGAATAACAAGTTGTTCGTTATTGTTTCCTTTGAACTCTAGTCACATCAGTTCCTGTTCTATGTTCCTATTTTGCCTCCCATTTTAATCACTGACATTAAGCTTTCCACCATCCCCATTCCACTCAGACTTCCTGTTTTCTGGACCTTTCTGTTTTTTGGGTATATGTGACTTGGGAACTGTAATGTCCTGGGTTTGGTTCTGAAAACGTGCCTAAAAAGCTAGACTTGGAATAAAGTAGAATAACTGAAGGCAAAGGGTACTGATTTCCCATCTTATATAGTAAACATGGCAGAACAGAAATTAAAATGAATGTAAAAATTTATCAGGAGCCAATTTGCATGCCGATGTCTGGATTAGCTAGCCCTTAGCCAGCCATAGAAATTTGAACTTTCATAAAAATTAGTGTGACGCTTCATTAGTTCCAGCTGAAAGTTTACTTTGTAATTAAAAAAATTTGCTTCCTTTTCCTAATTAACCTAAATGTAATTGATCTTCCACACTGAGGTACTTGCAACTATATTTAGAATAAAAGGGCTACCACTCTGGAAAGTTTAAAATATCTTTAGTTGCATGATGGTAGCCTGGTCTAGACAGGAGACCAGACTTGTGCTCTGCCACTAACTCACTCAATGGCTTGATTTGTGGCACAGATGTACTTTGCAATAGCCACCTTTATAAATTCACTAATTAATTAATGGGAAAGTGCAAGGTGATGGTGACCTTATAATCAGTTGCATTTTAGTCTCTTGAAACCTAGTCTTTGCCCTGGACTCTGCTGTTATCAAAGTGGTAAGGTAGGCATGTTCATGCTGAAGAGGTGTGCTCACCCTTGCTTCTTAATGGCCTAAAGTCTTTATCTCCTCCTCCTCTTCTGTTATTCTTAGCCTCCTTGCCCACTTCTGTATCTGTAATTCACTCTCCAGGACCCATACCGTTCTCAGCATCTTTGCTGGGGCTGCCAACAAGAGTACCTCACTGTGGGAGCCGATTCTGTGAGGTGCATAGCTGTGCAGCAGGACCTACAGCAGCCATCTTACTTCCTATACCACCAAAAGCTGTCAGAAGGTAATAACTTTGAAAAACAGGCCTAAAAATAAATAAATGATATTCAATGCATCAGATAGTTTAGCACCCAAGTGTGCACCCAATATTTCAAATGCCAGTACTATGACTACACACAAGTATTTGTGCATGCAATTAGCTAATTAAATACACTTGTGCGTGAAACAGCTATATGTTGGTATAGCAGCTGTCTATGCAAATTAGGGACACAGCTGTGCATGCATTTTGCACCTACAGTTGCATACCTCAACTTTATGAAATCAAACCCTATTTTTCAATTGATCTAAATATGCACACACAGATCAGGCATCAAATACATAGTACTGGCCAAACAAATACTCATATACTCAATTAAGAGAACCTGGTGTAGCCTCATGTATACAGAACAGGGGTTGTCAAAATCATCTGTAGAAGTGGTCTGTATGTTTATGACAAGCACTGCGGTTTGACAGCCTCTGAGAGTTGGTACCACAAGTGATACATATTCAGAAAATGGTTTTTATATCTCATATACACTTAAATTCCCTTTGCTGTTTCAGCTGCATATGATATTCTCTTTCACTTTGTCCTTCAGCTGAGACATGGCACTAGATTCTGTTCTCATTAATACTAATGTAAGTCAAACTGATTTATCTAAGATACTTGTAGCATGCAAAACATTAATTTTTAGATGCCAAATCCAGAGTAGCTCCAGTGTATCAGGATTTGGCCCACTGTCCATAAATTTGAATACATTAATTTTAAAAAGTCAAAATGAGACAAGTACATTGCAATTATAGATATCTTTTATTATCTTTCACCTTTCTACCCTTTGTTCTCTCCCATGCTTTACCCCATCCCTCATTTTGATGTTTCCAGCTTAAATTGTATACTCATGCACACCAGGGCATGCTTGAAACAACAAGAAAACAGTCTGAAATTCCTGTGTGGTATTGCTGTGTGCTGTTAAATAACTGCCACGTTCCAGCAGAGGTGGCTTCATTTCAATACTGGGGGAAGCAATCCATTTGTACATCAGTTTAGTTAGTTTGCAAAGCTAATCCACTTCACAGTCCACCCGGATCAATTAATACCTTAGACTGTAAACTATTATTATTATTCAAATGTAACCATTACTAGCACTTTTTACTATTATTCCAGTGGAACATATTCCTTTTGGTCACCTTGTCTGCAGCATAGGCCTATGATGGAAGATAGATTTTGTTTCATCATCTGTTTTCCCATAGATCACATCAAATGAAATACCCACAAGTGAAATAGCTACATGGGTGATATGAGTGCCAAAAGGAGTGATGCCAAGTTGTATGAAAAGTTTAAAGTGGCAGCACCGGAAATGCTGGCTCAAATCATCCAGCTGCTTGCATTGTGCCATAAAATGAACATCCATGTGCCACGAGGGGTCAAGAACCTCTTCGAGTTCACATGGGAGGAGCTAACAGTAACGACAGAAAGGAAAGCCATCACTGGAGAATACTGTCCTGTGGTCTATTTAGTCCCCACCATGGAATCATCTTTCTCTAGCACGACCTACAAGAGCCATACGGGGACGAAATCTATCCCCAAAAGCACAATGCCAGAGCCCAGCTATCTGTCTCCTTCAGCAGAAAATCAACAAATACTCCTCAAGTTCCAGCAAAGGTCAGTCCACCTGCTGAGCGAACTCCTCAAGCTGAAGATGAAGGTGATGATTGATTCTGTTACTGGTAAGGACACCTGAGTAATGTAATTACGTAAGTTTTCTTTCGCTACACCGACAGAACACCACAATAGAACCTGCCCCTGGCCTGGGACACTGTGCTAGAATCTTTATGGTAACCCCTTGCTCCCATTAACCATGTTGAAATATGACTGTAGCAAGTGTGCCTGTGACCCTAGCATGGAGAGGCCCTTAGATAGTCATTCAACCCAGTTATCTCTACATCTGTTCAATGCCTTTGAGCAGATATGGCAATTCAGGTAACTTCCTACATAGTTGTCAGTCATGGAGCTTAAGGCCAGACGGGACCCACAGATCATCTAATCTGACCTCCTGCACATCAGACCACTACCCACACCTAGTTACTCTTGCACTGAGCCCAATCTCCTGGATTAGACTGAAGTCTTATAGCCCTCTGGAGAGTAAACTATTGTGTGCCACAGGCAGAGAATGGGAGGGAGCTAGGTGCATCAATGCCTGAGGCCCCTGCAATGGCAGAGAACCGATGTGGTGAGTGTGCCCAGATGAGCCTAGTAAGCAACCCCCCATCCAGCATGCTAGAGGAAGGTGAAACCCCCACTCTCCAAGGTTCCTGCCAATCTGACCTGGGGGAAACTTCATTCCCACTCCCTAAAATGGTGATCCCAAGCACGTGAGCAAGACCCAACAGCTAAGCATCTGAGAGAGACCATTCTCTGTACTGCCTCAGTTAAACTGATCTGATATGTCAAACTTTTCAAATGACACCATCAGCTCTGGAGGAGACAGCATATTAACACTTCTATGCACTTGTTATCTTAGGGAGAAACTGATTTATTGATAGAAGATGGCATTAACAGGGAGAGACCTCTAATTTTTTTCTACATGATTTTTTTTCCCTCAGGATGTAGTTCCGATGAGGTTACCAGAAAGTTTTTGGAGGCAGGTCAGCTGCTATGTCCCAAGAACCAGGAGGAGGCAACTGAATTAATGGCACAAGCACCCAAAAAAAGAGGTGGGGGTAGAAAACAGTATCCATGTTTTTGAAGGCTGTGATACAATTGTATCCTTCTTATGGAAAATAAAATAAATAAACTTAATAGTTTGCCTGTATAAGTGGGCCTTTTCTTACAAGGATCTCAAAAGCCCAAAAGGGCTTTACACATGCTAATGAATTCTCACAATACTCCATGAAGGTATCCATTTTACAGAGAAGGGGGCCTGAGGCACTGAGATATTACCTGACAGAAAATTAATGGCAGAGCTTGGGAAAGAACCCAGGATTCCTCAGTTCTAGCGCTCTCCTCTGTCCACAATAAATAGATTTCCCACCTCTTTAGTACTCTTCACTGTACTAAATTCATTATTATTAAGGGCTCCAAACAAGTGTGGGATGCTACTGTACTAAGTTGTGAACAAAGAAGAGCTCCCAGGCTACATAGACAAGACAAACAAAGGGCATGGAGAAGAAATTATAATCATAACCCCATTTTACAGATGAGGCAAAGAGAGATTGAGTGACTTGCCCAAGGTCATGCAAAAGGCTATGAAAAGTAGGGAATTGAGCCCAGATCTCCTGAGTCCCAGTCCAGTGCTTTAATCCCAGGAACATCTTTCCTCTCTTCCTCTGGCCCCAGGTTTATAAACCAGGCTGACAAGACTTGTGACACAACTGAGGCGTTTGTCTTTATTTCCATAGCTATTTTCATTTGAAAGTTCTTGGTTGGTTTTAACTTCTAAACCCCAGTTTCTGCTTAATCCCAGTGTCAGCCAGCACCTGCAAGCCCATCCCTATTTCCTCCACCATCCAACTAATACACCAAGTCTCTGTGTCCTGCCTCACCTTCTCACTCGCTTCAAAGGAAAACAAACTACCAAAGGCCCCAGGTAAGTGTGATTCCTAGGGAACGCCTCACCCTCACCGTGAATAGCAAGTGCTTTACCCTTAGCCAAAAGAAAGGCCCATATAGGAGTTTGTGACAGGCAGGGTGGGGGATCCCTCATCTACATAATTAATATCAGCGTCACTCCCAACTACACAGGCAAATATACCAGCAAACGATGGGAGATGCTAGACAGCCTGGGTGAAGTTTTGACTGAACTATCTATCTTAGTGTAGTAACGAGAGCCATATATGTACCTAAGTGCCTTACAATCTTTTTTAACACATTTATTTACCCACCCAATGCCCCTGTGAGATAGGTCAGTGCTATTCTCTCCATTTTACCGATGGAGAAGTAAGGCACAGAAAGGCTAAGTGACTTGTCCAAGCTCATACAGGAGATCTGTAGCAGAGCAAGTAACGGACCCCACATCTCCTGATTTCCCGGGTAGCATCCTAACTCCTGGATCATCTTTTCTCCCTGCCCCCAAACAAGCAATCTTCAGGATCTTTTTATTCAGATGAATGTAGAACTGTGTTCCATTTTGGTATTCTGCTTTTTTCCCTTCAAGGCTCCTTCCCGAAATCCCTTCTACTGTTCCCATGTGTGTGTTGCATATACTGACTTCTGCTTTATTCCATTACAGTTACAACTGCTCAGAAATTTCCTGATGAAAAAGGGGAGAATATTTTCATGAAAAATATCCCCATTTTTCAGATGGCTTTAAAATTACAGTGGTTTGTAGATGTGATGGAGCAGGGTCTGAAAAGGGTACTATGGCTATTCAGAGACAAGCTATTGCTTCTTATTATTTTTTAGAGCGGAAATTAATATAACTTTCAGACAGGTACAACTTGTCCATGGTGAAAAGGGGGTTAATGTAATCTCAGCTCCCCCATCCCTTTGCACAGATAAGATTCTCAGGGCAAGGGCAATAAGAGGGACTGTTTAGGAGACTAGCTGCTTTTAGCCTTTGTCTTAACATTTACTTTTGCAGGTTCCTCTAAATTCAAACCTATGCAGGAAGTGATAAATGTTGACCATCAGCATGACCCGTGCCCTGAAGCCAGGCAGAAGCTCAGAGAAATGTGCCGACATATGTAAGCATCTCCAATGGCCAAGGCTAAAGCCTAAGGCATGGGTGGGAAAAAGACTCAAGTGGTGGGATAGAAACATAGAAAAGTCCATGCCAGATCAGATTTATGGTCAGTCTTGTTCAATATCATGTCTCCAGCAGTGGCCAGCAATAGATTTTTGATCAGAAGGCAACCCCATAAGGGACAATTATGGAATAATCTACCCACAAAAGTTTCTTCCTAATTCCTCTCAGTTAGTGGCTGGTTTACAATGAAGCATGAGGGCTCATATCTAGAAAAATGTTTTTGGCTGATAGGTTTCTCTTGTCTGATTAACTTCAGGTTTCAAGGAAATATGCATTTTAAAGAGTTGTGTTTGTTTATCTGGCATAGAAATAAACACTCTGAGCACATCTGTATTGGCCATGAAGCTATAGGCCCTCCCTCCCAGGTAGCTGACTTGAATTGAAAGACTAGAATGCCAGCAAGGTTCTCTGGAAGATAACTTTTGACAACAATTTATGATAGATATATATATAACTAGTGCCTGTCATCCTGAGATACCCCAAAGTGCTTTAAAGACCACAGAGATTTCAGCCATCTCTGGAGCAGAACATAATATCCAATCTGCGTCCCACAACAGTGTCAGAGGAGGGGAAGCAAAAGGTTAGTTTTTAAATTGAAACTGCAGGGGGAATTTATGATGACACAATCTGTTATTACCCAAACTGGAATTTAATGAGGATGCTATGGTTTAGGCTCCTATTTGTGAGAAATGTTCCCTTTGATCTTTCCTGATCACAAGAAGATAGGATCTAAAAACAACTATTAGAAATGTAAAGAGGGGGAAATGATCAGTATTAGTAAATGGAAGGGGATGAACTCAGTAGGGGAATAGAATATTATCTTCAAGATGTATAGAGTATTACATCACTGGGGGGGTTAAAAAGAAAATAAAAACTCTAGCAAATAAAGTGCTATAAAAAGAAGAAGGAATGGGTGGCTCAGAGAATTGCTAGTGAGGAATGAACTTTTCACTGACAGGCTGGTAGTTGTTACCATCGGATGGCTAGTTGGTGACCAGTCTCACATCTGGTTCCCATTGGCTAGATATCCACATGACAGAAAATTGGCACTGAAGGATGCCCTTCGTGGTAGTCCCAATAGAGAGGCCAAGAACTGACTGAAAGAGCATCCCTCTCACTTCTAGAGATGTCCCCCCGACCCAGGTCAGGGATGAAGCACGTTAGCGAGTGGAGAGGCTCGGCAGTAGCTTGCACTGCATCTCATTGTGTGTTACTTGTTTTGTGGATGCATTTCTTTTCATCCAGTACCTTTCAGAAGCAGTAAACTCACTACTTTAAAACAGAGAGTGAGAGAGAGAAAAAAATTAATAAGATTCTCTAAAAAGAAAAGTGGGCAGGGCCCTTTCTTGACAAAGGTGTTCCCCCCTCCCAAAAAGCCTGACTTGTACAGTAGTAATCTCAAAATAAATGCAGAGGGCCAGACCCTCAGCTGGTATAAATTAATGAAATCAATAGAGCCACACCTGTTCATGCCAGCTGAGGGCCTCACCCCCTGGCCTCCTGAGTTTGGAATGTTTCAGAGACAGACAACTTCTTTATTCCTATTCACTTTAGAGAGGAAGAGAAGGCTGCAATGAAAGCAAAGGGCCATACCAAACCCCTAATAGTGCAAAACTATGCCACTGTGCTCGGGTCACCGTCCATCTCCTCTAGGAAAAGTGGGCAGCTGGTCCCACCGCCAACAGAACGCAAGCCTAAACCACCAAAGCTCTATTTTGCCTTTCCTGATGGGACAGCATTTATTTTGTATCCTTCTATTGAAACCAAGGGAATAGGGTGGTTTATAACAGGATTTACAGGGAGATGCTTCTTCTGTGCCACTCCACAGCCATAAACTGGTCACGCAATATCAGGCCCTAGATTAACATAGGCTCCCCCGATACTAATCCCCCTGAACCACATAGTAGCGACACAAGTACCATTGCCTTTCCTTGGTGAAATATCAAAATGTACAGAACATGGCACAAAGAAAGAGTTGCTGAGGGAGCCAGGCTTTCAGGTTAGTTCCCTACGGATGTCCAAAGAGGAACAAAATATTGTAGATAGTTACTGAATGCTCATTCTAAGGAGAAATCAACCCCTGGTATATCCTAGGGGAAAATAGTGCTCATCCATGAGTTAGATATTTTTTGGTGAGGGACTGGGAGGGGAGGATTTATAGTGGCAAGATTAATAGACGCTAAGGTTGACTGCCTTCCAATGTGTCTTGAAGCGAAAGGAGAACAGTGCTTTTTCATGGGCTAAGAGAAAATTCAGACTGGAAAGTGATCAGATTTAGTTAGACACACACGTACACATTCCTGCCTATAACACACCCTTGTACCACATAACAACCCAGGATAACATAGTTGAGAGAGAAGATGAGTTCTCCAGGTGCTTTGAGGCTCAGTGGATTCCTGGAGACTACTTTGATCTGATTTCCTGTGAGCACCCAATGACCGATTAACCTTTCCTATTCCCTCAATTGAAACTAACTTTTTCCCCCTGCATTTGTTCCTACTTGCATTTGTCTTGATCCTAGAGATCAGAGAGCCAGCCAATGGGTTCTAACAAAAGGTGTGCTCAAGCCACACTGAAACAAAAAGTGGAAGCATTGTCTATAAAAGCATTGTATAGTATTTGCTTTGGTTCTCACCTGACTGCTGGATGAAGTCCTGCATTTAGAACCTAATCTCACGCTGATTGAAGTCAGTGGGAATGGAGAAGGTCATTGGCTTTTGCCATGTGAACATAAGATCGGCTAGACTAGGTCAGACCAATGATCCATCTAGCCCAGTACCCTGTCTTCCGACAGTGGCCAATGCCAGGTGCTTCAGAAGGAATGAACAGAACGGGTAATCATCAAGTGATCCATCCCCTGTCGCCCATCTGGTCCTTACATGAGCCATTGCTAGGGATGGGTGAACACCAAAAGACTCAAAGGTTTGGTTTACCAAGCACTAAGAAACTCGGATTACTCAGCCAAACCTCACCTAAGGCATCCAGACATCATTGGCCTGCCAAACTGTGATGTGAATCTCATGGGAGCAGGTGATTTCTAGGGCTTTTTCCTGGGCTGGAAAGACCATAAGAAAAGCCCCTTTTGCGACATTTACAATGGTCACACTTAAAATGTTTCTATTCATTTGAAAGATTTTACTGGCCAGAGAGAGATTTCTATTATAACTGGTAGACTCTCTCAAATTGGTAGTGCAACCAATGTTAGTGCTCAGCTGCCAGGATGATTAGGGTGATGTATACATTTAGGTTAGATAGATGGAATAGATTAAGTTAGATTTTGTCCCTTTTGCTTCTGGTCCCAATTATGATCAGAAAGTTCAAAGACACGGAAGTTATTATTATTCATACGGTAGTAGCACCTGGGAGCCCCAGGCATGGAGCTGGACCCCTTTGTGCTAGGTGCTGTACAAACACAGAACAAAAAGATGGTCCCTGCCCGAAAGTGCTAACAATCTAAGCATGCGCTTTTGTACGTTTAGAAATGTAACCAAGCTGTTTTGAATCCCCAGATAATTCCAGTTCAGGTTCAAAGATCACACCAAGTTTTGGATCCATTTTTCGTGCTACCCGGGCAAGTTTTCCCAATGCTAATTGTAGGCCAGTGATTTTCACTGAAAACCCCTTTGCCTAGCATAGCTGGAAACGTTGGCATTCAGCTGTCATTTGTAATTAATAACCCCGTCCATCCCCCAAAAGACCCTGAAATTGTTGGGAATAGTGGGGAGACATGCAGCATCTTTCCCAGCATAATTAAATTTTCATAAATTAAACTTTCAGTTCCAGTCCTTCAGGAGGTTCACAGACTGTTAAAAGGCAAGGGGGGGACAAGGGTGCTGTCTAAACTACTCTTGACTCCTTCCCTCCATCTCTCAGGCAATTTCTGCCCACTACCTTTCTCCAAAGGAGCTCCATTGCAGTTCAATTTGTGGTTGTTTCACAAGAGCTCATGTTCAGTTTGACCTTTTGACTGAACTGGGAATTAAGAATTTAAAGCAGCTAGTCAAAAAATTCGTATCATTTCTCTAGTTTAAATGAATCCATTCATCACATTTTATCCAGTCTCTGCTTTCTAATACCTTTCTAATATAAATGCTTTCTAATATAAAACACAAAGGGCTCATTTGGCGACATTCTTCCTTTTTTTATTCTGTTTCTAGCTCCTCACTTTGGTTAATAGAATCAATTGCTGCAGTGTCGGTTGTGACGATGTCAGTGAATTAAGCCCTTAAAGAACTGGCGCTCGAGTGAGAGACAGACCCTGTGCTCAGTCAGACAATCTTTATTCAGCTGTCTGTAATTCAACCTAATCTCTAATAGTTTAGCAAAATGCACATATCATCAATACTAAGGATGGAAAGGCGTTTTGGAAGTATTTGCAACCAGGATCGGGTGTTTGCCACTATGCCAAGATGCTATATAATGGGAGTAATTGGTAGCACAGCAGTAACTTTGTAGCTGATAGTTATTTCTAGACGGAGGAATTGCTCTTATGTTTTTCTACACACAAATACCCACCCACTTACCTTTCAGGCTGAGTGACTTATTTTAGCATCAGAAAAGCATCAAGAAAGAACAAAAGTAAAGTTTCCATGGTGTATGTGTGTATGTCACCCTCTTTGTGATAGTCTGCAGCAGAACTGGTTGGAAAATGATTTTTTAAAACACATCCACAATTTTCATTAACATTTTTAAAAAATCATTCTTATCAAAATGGTCATTCCAAAATTTTGACTTTTTTGAAAAGCTTAACCCCCCAAATTTTTTGGCAAACATGCTGTCAAACACCCAAAAATGTTCAGGACCAAAAACATGTAGATTTTTGACTGGAAATTTTCAGGTGTTTTGTTTTCTGATGAAAAATCAACCATTTTCAAGGAGGCAGACACTGCACAAATTTTCACATTGTCAAATTTTTTGTCGAAAAATAGTTTTGACCAAAGATCTTCATCTAGCTCTCATCTGCCTCAACCATGAGAACACAATGGCTACTGTCTCTACACATAAACACGGTCCTTAGAAATTTGAAGTACATGAGAAAAGGCATTACAGCTTCCTAACTACAGACACCACATTATTATTATTATTATTATTTATTTTAGTAATCTATACTGGTGCTGTTCATCAGTAAAGCTGCCAATTGCAAAAGACATTTTAACAAATGCCTTGCTTCCTAAGAAAATTTCCTTGTTCCTTGATATTACAAAAGTTTGATCAAACTGTCAGGGTTCCTTCCCCACTCTGAACTCTAGGGTGCAGATGTGGGGATCCGCATGAAAGACCCCAAAGCTTATTCTTACCAGCTTAGGTTAAAAACTTCCCCAAGGTACAAACTTTGCCCTGTCCTTGAACAGTATGCTGCCTCCACCAAGCGTTTTAAACAAAGAACAGGGAAAGAGACCACTTGGAGATGTCTTCCCCCCAAAATATCCTCCCAAGCCGCACACCCCCTTTCCTGGGGAGGCTTGAGAATAGTATCCTAACCAATTGGTTACACAATCATCAAAGACCCAAACCCCTGGATCTTGGAACAATGGAAAAATAAGTCAGGTTCTTAAAAGAAGGGTTTTATTAAAAGAACGGTAAAAATCATCTCTGTAAAATCAGGATGGAAAATACTTTACAGGGTATTTAGATTCAAAACACAGAGGATCCCCCTCTGGGCAAAACCTTAAAGTTAGAGAAAACAGGAATAAACCTCCCTCTTAACACAGGGAAAATTCACATAAAACAAAAGATAAACTAATCTACCTTGCCTGGCTTACCTATACTGGTTGCAATATTGGAGACTTGGATTAGGATGGGTTGGAGAAGATGGATTTCTCTCTGGCCTCTCTCAGTCCCAAGAGAGAACTACCACTTAAAAAGCACAAAACAAAAGCCTTCCTCCCCACCCCCACCCAAGATTTGAAAGTATCTTGTCCCCTTATTGGTCCTTTGGGTCAGGTGCCAGCCAGGTTAGCTGAGCTTCTTAACCTTTACAGGTAACAGGATGTTGCCTCTGGCCAGGAGGGATTTTAAAGCACTGTATACAGAGAGGTGGTTACCCTTCCCTTTATATTTATGACATAGCCAAAAATCATAGATCTTGTACTGTGCCCTGAATATTGTCAAACTCTGGTTCTAGTAGCCATGTGAATGGAGCTGGTTCCAGAGATGTAGGACAAAGGTATTCCCTTAGAGGCTATTCTGTGGTACAGAACTTATGCTTCTGCCAGGGTACTGTTAGATACTGTGAGTTTCAGGAAATGGGGCTAGTGTGATGGTGGTGGAGGAAGGGAACAAAACAAATATGGTTGCCTTGGGAGGCCAAAAATGTCTTGGGCACTGTGAGGTCCAAATGCAAGAACTGGAGTTGGTGCTTCTTCTAATGTGGCAAGATGCAGTTGGACAGAGCATCCCAGAAGGTCTCTTATATGTAAGTAAAAAGAAAAGGAGGACTTGTGGCACCTTAGAGACTAACACATTTATTAGAGCATAAGCTTTTGTGAGCTACAGCTCACTTCATCGGATGCATGCCAATGAAGTGAGCTGTAGCTCACAAAAGCTTATGCTCTAATAAATTTGTTAATCTTGAAGGTGCCACAAGTCCTCCTTTTCTTTCTGCGGACACAGACTAACACGGCTGCTACTCTGAGACCTTATATGTAAGTGTTGACAGTACTTGACAGTATGTATAAGTTACCCAACAGGAAATATTGCTGCTTGCCAGTTCCCCATGTGCTGTGTGGGAAAAACAATCACCCTTCTCTTTAATAATGCTCCAAGTCTAGCTCTTCTGGCCTCTTTTATAGCTGACTACCAGGCATGTGTGCATTATTCCTTCAAAGCCAGGTGAGTGGATTTTAACCTACTTCTATAGTGTAGATAATTCATGGGGTAGGGGGGAGGGGCAAAGTACTGATGCCCGTTTTCCAGAGCTGTTGAGCAGCTCCCATTAAATCCTGGGAAATGTGGGAATTCAACACCTCTGAAAATCAGGCCGGGGGATCTAATATAAGTGATTGACTGAGTCCCCAACAACCGGAAATGGTGGCTTATTGTACTGGTGTAGATGGTGGTGGAAACAGTGGACGGAGCAGTACATGATACAGTGTCATGTATCAAAAGCAGACTGAAAGAAACAATAACCATAGCTCTAAAACAGAAGAGCACATGTTGTGAGAGAGCTTAAAATATTTGCAGCTAACATTATAACCCGTGCATTACATAAAGCCTATTGATACCTAGTGCATGCAATGACTTTCTATTACAGGTGCAACCCTGTCAGAACACAGAGCTGACACATTGCAACCCTAGGGGTTTGAAATCATCCAGAGGGGTGGTGTCAATGGGGCAAGGGGGAGAAATCTTTCTAAACGGTAACATTTAATTTCTAAGGTATGAGGACTTGCCAGTGCTCTTGGATTATGGTTTTTCATACTTTTATTTATTATTGTCTATTTATTTGTATTCCCATAGCACCTAGCAGCCCCAGACTTGGATCCAGACCCCCTTCGCTATTGTATCAAACAGAGGCTGCTTGTCTTTACTTTCAAGGCCCTTGCAGGCCTTTCCCCATCTTTTGCTTTGGACATTCATTAGGCAATGTTGTCATATCAGTTCAAGAAGAGGTGTGCAAGGACATTTTAATGAATTAGTAGGTGGGGTTTTTGTTGTGTTCTCATCAGTTTAGGCCTGAATCCTGCAAACACTTAGGCACCCAAGTAACCTTATGCACGTGTGCAACAATCCCATTGACAACTCATGCATGAATTTACTCATGCGCTCAAGTGTTTGCAAGACTGGGTTCTTGGTAATTCTGTATTGCTTCCATTTGGGTTGTGCATAAGACTCTAGGCTCCTGGAGTGCTTTTCCAGCTAAGGACACCAGCATACTTTACAAATATTACCTAAGCAAGTCTCTGAACCCTGTGAGGTAGACATTATCATCTCTATTTTACAGATGGGTAGACTGAAGGCACAGAGAAGTTAAAAGATTCACATTGCTAATTGATAATGAACAAAGGAACACAACCCAGAGGTCTCAACTCCAATCAAATGGTTCCTTCTCATTAATAATAACTGAATATACTATAAAAAGAAAAGGAGGACTTGTGGCACCTTAGAGACTAACCAATTTATTTGAGCATGAGCTTTCGTGAGCTACAGCTCACTTCATCAGATGCATACCGAAACTGCACGGTATGCATCTGATGAAGTGAGCTGTAGCTCACGAAAGCTCATGCTCAAATAAATTGGTTAGTCTCTAAGGTGCCACAAGTACTCCTTTTACAGACTAACACGGTTGTTCCTCTGAAACCTGAATATACTATAAAAAAGAGTCTCCTATAACTAAGGATAGGATTCTGCCATGGAAGCCACGCCAAATAGCTGACCGGTGGTCAGCCTGGGGTCACTGAACAGCCGCTGCCAGAACAGCGGCTGCGGTCAGTCCTGGGGCTGCCAGAGCAGCGGTCCCCAGCCTGCAGACCAGTGGGGACCGCTTTATCTGGGGCTGAAGCAGCAGCGGTCAGCCCTGCCGCAGGAGCAGTGGTGGAGCTGGAGCAGCTGCAAGCCCTGGGAGTGCTGTGTTTCTACCCAGAGGGTATTTTTAGTGAAAGTCAGGGACGGGTCACGGGCTTCCGTGCAATTTTTTATTTATTGCTTGCAACCTGCCCCTGACTTTTACTAAAAATACCCGTGATAGAATCTCACCCTGACCTATTACTTACTGTTTATGCTTATCATCCCCATCATTCTTTCTGGAAGAAAGACAATTAATTCTCCTGACCCTTAACCTTTGCACAGAATGGTATTGGTGCTTATTAATGGTGCCTGTAAGAATTTAATCCCAGCGGGTGTAACTGATGGTTACTGTGCATGTCATAGCTCAGGTAGAAAAGGTCATCAGAGAGCTGAGCAATGTGTATGAAAGGGAAGGGGAGCAGAACAGAGCAAATCTGTTCGAGTAGTGGTGCTCAGGGTTGCACTGGGTTTATATGATTCTCCGTAAGAGTGTAAAGATCTTAGTTGAGAATTCTCCCCTGAGTGTTGGATGTTTATTATGATCAGTCCAGCCAATCAACACAAAGTCTAACTAGTATTTCCCCTTCTGTCCTGCCCAGCTGTTCACTTGCATTGATGATGGATCTTGAAGGAGGAGCAGTCAGGGACAGAGATGGATATTTGACTCACAAGTGGAGTTGGGCTTCAAAGACCCAGACTTTTCAGTCTTTAGAATTTCAGGTACAAAACTGAACTCTTGCTAAGTGCCAATATTCACAGACCTAATAGAGTCAAAAATTATGAACATTCCCAGACTTCAGAATAGCTGTCTGTGTAGTGTGGTTTTGCACCAGGAACACTTTTGATCCTGTCTGAGTTCTTCTGTTCGATGTGATGGTGGTAGATGCGTTGTATTTTATTTCTGCCTATTCCCTCTGATACTACTTTGGCACCCAGTCTCAATCTGCAGATTATTTCTAAAGTATCAAACCTACAATAATATGGCCTTGGAAAGATGTAACTTATCATCTCAGTTTCCGGCTATAGCTTCTTGAAAAAGATGGGTCTGCGGCATTATTAGTTCGAAAAGAAGCTGTGTGCCATCAGACTGAGGAGACCTTCTTAAATGAAGACTGAAATTTTCAAAGTCTCCTAAGAGATATGGGTGCCTAATTCTGATTACTGTTTATGGAAATTTGGCATCCAAATCACTTAGGTGGCTCTAAAAATCTCAGCTGAATTGTTTAACGCTAACTCAGATAGGACAGGTTGAATGGACTGAAGATTTATGAACCAGAAGCTTCACTGGTTTGTGCTCACTGAAGAAAATGTAGCTGACGCCAGGCTATCTCCCAAGAATTAATTACCCCAGGATGCCAATTGTTTCTGTTTGAGGGTGTTCTCCTGGAATACTGCAGACTAAAGCCCAAATCCTGTGAGATGTTGTTTTGAGCACCCTCAACTTCTGGTCTGAATGAAGCAACCATACAAGTCAGAAATCACAAACCTGTGGGGCTGTGACAAATTCACAGAATTTAACTTTGAGGAGTTTCTCATACGTCACTTCATTTTCAGAACCCCCTGTATTTCCTTTTAGTCACAGTTTTGACAGAAGAGAGATTTCCCATCAAAATCATTTGAATTTCTGCATGTTTTCAATATAGAAACCTGCCCCTGATTAACAAATGAACTCAGTTTTGCTCCAAGGAGGCATAAACTCTGGCAAAATGTGTTAGAGGTGTTTCACAGACCTGGGAAGCTGTCAGGTGGAAAGATGGATACAAATCTCCTGGAGTAGTATGTAGTAGGAAAATGGTGGCAGCAAAAATGAAGGCATAATTTACCCTGTCCATTATCTTCCTCAGATAAATGAACAGCTAAAACTGAAGGTACTTGGTCAAAATTCCATTACTCTTTCTTTTTCCTGTTTGAATGAGACCATCAATATGTCTTTGTCAAGAACTCCATGTGCACACACACCCAAAGCTGAAAAATGGGTAAGCAGCAGTAATATATATATGAATTACACCCAGGAGGATGGCTGATGGGTGCCCCACTAATTGCTAGCCAGTTTTAAATCCATTAACCAACCATAGTATGTGAAATATGGCTAAAATATTGCTATTTTCACTGACCTAGTCAAGCCTATTTACTAGAGTGATAAAATAAGGACAGGTCCTAAACTTGAACCAAACATAAAACTTGTTTTGTACAGTGGAAGTCATTAAAACTCTCGGTATTTGTTCATCTCTTCCTCTCTCAGGCTTTACAAATGTGCATGTCACCATGGGACACAGTGCAATTACTAAGGAGCTATTTCCGCTCCTAAGAATAGGAAGGTACCATAGAATCATAGAATATCAGGGTTGGAAGGGACCTCAGGAGGTCATCTAGTCCAACCCCCTGCTCAAAGCAGGACCAATCCCCAACTAAATCAGGACCATAATCATTGCAGGGGACTAGAGAGGCAAATGTTGAGGTTTTAATGGTATCTACTCTAGTTTTAGATAAGTTCAGTTAATATTTTGAGCTATTGTTTTGCATGTGACTTTGCATTTCTTGTTTTTGAAGTGGACCAAAAGCAGAAATGATTCAGTATCGAGCCTGATCCTGCATTCCTTATATATCCCAAATGCCCAATGAACCATCAAACCGTACTGTGCTGAACCTAGTGCAACTGAGAAAGGGACAAAGATAACTTTTTGCTACCTCTGTGCCCCCAATCCAGTGACTGACCTGGTATCTGATCCCTCATGGCCACACCAAGCTGTGGTCAGCTACAACAGAGCCCCCCTGGGTTGTTCTTGCACCACTTGCGCCATCGTTCCCTGACCTTGCTGCCCTCTACGTAGGGATTGAGAAGAGGATGGGTGTAGAATCATTGTACCAGTTCTGTTCCACCCATGGCTTCTCCTTACCTTGGCTTTCTGATTACAGTGTGCTGCTGAAGCAGTGCAAAGGAGCAGAGGGAGGGACTGCAGGAGGGAGCTGAAGATCTGGCCTTAGGTGTGCAAAAAATGCAGGATCAGGCCCATAGTGAGGCATGAATGACCTATTTCTAAACTACGGGGTGTTATCAGAGACATTCTTTACATTTGTAAGTCTTAGACTGTGAGCTTTTCAGGCAGGGATGGTATGGAAGGTACTTATTGCACTGTGGGTATTACTATAATACAAATATTAAGAATAATCAGCAATATTTCCCACTGACTTGCAACCAGAAATGCTACAATTCACATGAAAGGGTGGTTTTCTTCCAATTTCCAGCCTAGTTTCCTCATCTGAGGGGTGTAGCTAAACCGTGGGTTATGCTTCACACACCCTTCCTATGCACTAGTGGTGACATTTACTCCAGGACAAGGGGGCTAGTGCCAAGCCTTAAGCACTTGAAATCCTGTGTTAAGGGTCTGGCTGAGTGGGGCTTTTATGGTACATAAGTAAGTAGTCAGCAGGAATAAACCTTGCATGGGACCTCTGTACTGAGTGAATTGCCCCCTGAGCCCCAGGCATTACAGTATAGTGCTGTTTTGCTTGCAAATGCTTTTACCTCAGGTTTTGACTTATCAGCAAAAGCAAACATTACATTTAAGGAAAGTAGATAAACAATACATCCCCCTGTTTTAAGACTAGATGTTTTTAAATTGCTTCCCAAGGCTCCCATTGACCTTTGAAAAGTAACCCCTAGGAACTACATTGAAACCTGCCTTAGAGACAACCCTCTCTTTTAAGAATCATTCCCAGGTCCTTCCCTAAATATTTATATTGTGGATACACTTTTATAGAAAGACAGTCTTTCAATTAAAATGCTTTATTAGCCCAGAGGCTGCCTTCATAGGCTGCCTGAGTGACATATTTCTCCACCATTTGGTATTAATTGGGCCAGACTTTATACTTAGAATTCATCATCCTCCCAGCTGGCATTTTTGTTTTTACTATTTTCACTTTTAGAAGACAGATAAAATAAAATAAAAGGTTTATTCATCATACAGAGAGGAAATCTGTCAACTTCAGAACCAAACAGTATGTGGCAAATAAATACATGTCTTTACTTGCTGCTAACCTCTTAGCCAATTTAAGCTGAAAGAATGTTTGAAATCCCATTTCCTTTTAAAATCTTTTCTTTACTTTTTGCATTTCCCTCTCAGTGACATGCCCTCTCAGTGATATGGTCAACTTCATTTTCAGGTTTTCAGTGCTGAAAAGGCAGGACTGCAGGGGAAAATGATGGGAAAATGAATGTTACCATTGAATTAAGAGAGGGTAAAATCTTGGAAGCATTTTTTAGTGGTGATAGATTTGTAAAAGCTTGTCTAAATTTTGGGCCTGATTGTAGTGTCCTTTAAGAACTTTAGATTTGGTGTGGAATGCTAGCTTCATTTTTCTAGTATCTGAGAACGGGCCAGATCTTCAGGTGTAAATTAGTGTTGCTCCAGTGACTTCAGTTTACACTAATTAGGGATCTGGCCAATTTAAATCACATATATGTAGATGCTAGACATTCTGGATAGCTTTCAAAATGTTCTTGCTCTCCATGTTTGAAAATGCAAGTTTCACTGAAATATATAAATTTCTATGAAATATTTAAAAATCTATTCTCACTATTGTCAAGGAGAGTTTGCATTCAGTAGGAAACATTCTTCATAGGTCAGTGCTGAGTCAATATGGAACTGTTATGCTGTAGGAGGTCATAGAATTTAAGGCCAGAAGGGACCACCAGATCATCTAGTCTGACCTCCTGTATATCACAGGCCACCAACACCACCCAGCACCTTCTTACTAAACCCAACAACTGAAATTAGCTCAAAATATTACAGCCCACAGAAGACTAGACTATTATGTGTCACAGGCAGAGAACAGGAAGGACAGGTGCACCAATGCCTGAGGCCCCTCAATGGCAGCAAATTGTTTAGATGAGATGTACCCAAAGGATCCTGGCAAGCAAGCAACATCCACACACTGCAGGGGAAGGCCAAAAAAACCCTCAATGTCACTGCCAATCTGATCTGGGGGGAAAATCCCTTCCCAAATGCGTATATGACAATCATTAGCAAATTTGCGGATGATACTAAACTGGGAGGAGTGGTAGATACGCTGGAGGGCAGGGATAGGATACAGAGGGACCTAGACAAATTGGAGGATTGGGCCAAAAGAAATCTGATGAGGTTCAATAGGGATAAGTGCAGGGTCCTGCACTTAGGACGGAAGAACCCAATGCACAGCTACAGACTAGGGACCGAATGGCTAGGCAGCAGTTCTGCGGAAAAGGACCTAGGGGTGACAGTGGACGAGAAGCTGGATATGAGTCAGCAGTGTGCCCTTGTTGCCAAGAAGGCCAATGGCATTTTGGGATGTATAAGTAGGAGCATAGCGAGCAGATCGAGGGACGTGATCGTCCCCCTCTATTCGACATTGGTGAGGCCTCATCTGGAGTACTGTGTCCAGTTTTGGGCCCCACACTACAAGAAGGATGGGGATAAATTGGAAAGAGTCCAGCGAAGGGCAACAAAAATGATTAGGGGTCTGGAACACATGACTTATGAGGAGAAGCTGAGGGAACTGGGATTGTTTAGTCTGCAGAAGAGAAGAATGAGGGGGGATTTGATAGCTGCTTTCAACTACCTGAGAGGTGGTTCCAGAGAGGATGGTTCTAGACTATTCTCAGTGGTAGAAGAGGACAGGACAAGGAGTAATGGTCTCAAGTTGCAGTGGGGGAGGTTTAGGTTGGATATTAGGAAAAACTTTTTCACTAGGAGGGTGGTGAAACACTGGAATGCGTTGCCTAGGGAGGTAGTGGAATCTTCTTCCTTAGAAGTTTTTAAGGTCAGGCTTGACAAAGGCCTGGCTGGGATGATTTAATTGGGGATTGGTCCTGCTTTTGAGCAGGGGGTTGGACTAGATGACCTCCTGAGGTTCCTTCCAATCCTGATATTCTATGATTCTATGATTATGATTAGACCCTGAGCATGTGAGCAAGAACAAGCCAGTGAAGCATGAGAGAGAGAGATAGAGAGAGAGAATGCACGGTGCCACCTCAGAGCACTGGTTCATCCTGTCCAAGTTCTCATCTCCAGCTGTGATCATCTCTGATGCTTTGTAGGAAGGAGACAAAAAACCCAGAACACATTGCGGGGGGCGGGGGGACAGGAGGGCAAGATCCATTCCTGATCTCTGCAGGTGACTGGCTGAAGGCTTGAAGCAGGAAATTTTAGGAATATCCCACATGAACCAGAAGGGACCCTCACGGCTGCCAAGCCCTGCCCTCCACCATCACAAGCGACGCTGTCATACAATCCCACTCTTACATTTGTCCAGCTCTCTCTCAAAAATAATCCCTCCACTTATTTGATTCTCTGTGGACTTGGTCTCTTCTTTTACATACCACAAACTCTTCATAGTTAGTGGTCATTCTCACTTTGTACAGCACTGTAGGGTAACTTCAATGCCCTCTGTCTGAGTTAAATCCTCTCTAAAGTTCACCTGAAAACTTCAGTTTACTTTGTTTAAAATGGACACATTTCTACTCCGCTTTCCCTTTCCATAATTATATCCTTCAAGACGTCTCTCATTACAAATAAATACAATAATCAGCCTGTAGGAATATTTACCTCCATCTTTTATCCCATTTAAATTTCCATTTAAAACAAGATCACTCTTTCAGTTCTGTACATCACTTTCCTTTTCTCTGTATCCAACTCTGTCAAATTTTTCTATTTCACCTCTCACTGTAGTGCTTAATACTCGGTAGGAAAGAAAGTATATACACATTTATGCCGTATGCATAGTGCCTCTATTTTTTTAAGAGTTTTTGGTTTATTGTTCTAAATAAACTATTTTATGAAAAACAGTAATAAGTAACAATATCAGACCTACATCTTTATATGTCTTAACCAATATATATTAATTAATAAAATCCAACAATAAACCGAACTCTCTTCCCACTAGACCCAGAGACCACCCTTTCCCTCCTTCACATGGAAACAACCAGAAAGTGTTCATAGGGGTGAATTATGGAAATCCTAGATGCTAAGGGCTCCTTCCCCAAAGCACCCAGCATCAGGTACAGCTCATCCCTCTTACTGTGTACCCAGAGGATGCACATGTAACACCAGGCCCATGTAGGAAACAGTAGTAGAAGCCAGGAGAAGCTCAGACAGGAAGACTACAGAAATCCCCAGACTTTCAAGGCTCCTTCCTCAAAGCAGTGAGTACAGTCAGGTGTGAAGTGATAAACCAGGGCCTCCTCACCTCTGAGATCGAGAACAGCAGTAGCCAGGAGGAGCCTTCACAGCCTCATGACACCATTTGCTCAACACTGAAACCTTGATGTTGGATTTGTCCTTTTCATTTCATAGAAACATAGAAATGTAGGACTGGAAGGGACCTCAATAGGTCATCTAGTCCAGCCCCCTTCACTGAGGCAGGACTAAGTATTATCTAGACCATCCCTGATAGGTGTTTATCTGACCTGTTCTTAAAAACCTCCAGTGATGTAGATTCCACAATCTCCCTATCTGTCTGCACTTGTGTGCATAAAGGTCCTTCTACCATTCTCAACCAATCTGCAGGAGAGAGTGGCCTTTCAAACTGCATTTTTCTCTAGCTGTTCATGGCCCTAAAATAAAACTGAATCAAAAATTTAGTTTATAAATTCTAAAGAGCTGTGAGAATTTTAAGGCATTTCCATCCATAGGGTTTCAAGATGCGAAGGCATTGGAGAAAAGAGGGAGATTGATTATTTGGCTAACTTATTTTTGATGTCACGTTTCCATTGGAAAGGAAAGAGGAACAACACAGGAGGGATGTCATTAGGTGATTTAGCTCCGATATCATATTTCTGCTACCTAATATTGAACTATTATCAACAGAGGACAGGGATTAAAAGAGAAGACAAGGGAAAGTGAAATCATCACCTAGTCATCCTCATCCTGGGATGGGCTACCAGTTAAGTGGGTAAAAGATCCACTCTTTCTGTGAGACTTGAACACAGGACCTTGGATCATAACTAGGAAGTAAGACTGTTATCAACGGAACAGGTCTCTAACAGGACTGCACCAGCCTCCCCTCAATCATAATGTCATTCAAAGTTTGCAGTGCTGGAAACGTGATTCTAATCTTAACTAACAATGGTTGGGTTTCTCCTTTCACTCTTTAAAGATATGTGCAAAGGCAAGTGATGGTGAAGAGAAGGAACAACTGGAGAGAGCCTTGGAAGAGATTAAGAAGCGATTTCAGAAGACAGTGAAACAATTTATAAATGCCATTTTGATAGCTTCAGGTATCGTATTTTTTGCTGAGTGTCAACAGAGTGGTTACTCCTGTACATATGTATAATAAGTTCTGGTGTCTCCGCCAAGGGACTTACAGTTTAGCTCCAACACATATTAATGCAAGGATGATGATGTAAGGTCAAAGTACTGGAAAGGCTGGGAGAGAGAATTGCAGAAAGGTTTTCTGGAAGAGATGGGCTCAAAGGAATGAGTTGAAGGGAAAGAACGATGTGGGTACTGAATAAAGCAGAGCAAATAATTGATTTCTGGTTTAGTGGCTGAACCAAAAAAAATCAACTTGGATTGACCCCAAATGGAAATGTTTTGGAGGTTTTTGCTGAAAGAAAAAACCTGAAAAAATCTTTTTTTGGGTCAAATGAAATGTTTTGTTAGACCTGAAATGATTCCCCCTCCCGCCCCCAGTTCTTTGGTTTTGTTTTTGGGTGTCTTTATCCTTTTTTTAATTTGTTAAATTTCGAAACAAAATATTGTTTCAAAACTAAAAGTTACATTTCCAAAATGGAACGTATCAAAATGTTTTGATTTTTTGAACATCTTTTCTTTTTTGGAGCCAAAACTATTATCCCTATCTGACCTGAATTTGTGAATACATTTGACTGACACTGAATTTTGCAAGGAATGATTTTTTTCATCCAGAAAATTTCACCCAGCACTAGAGCTGAAGTTACTTTGATTAAAATATTTGAAGTCATTTAATACTGAAATATCAATGGATATGTTGAACAGCAGATTTGAAGGGGGTGAACTAGAAGACCTAATAGAAAATTTGAATAAAGCCATACAAGTTAGAGGTAGACTGAGTAACTCCAGAATACCTACATACACTTGGGAAGGTACATGAATCAACAAGTTACTCAGTGTCCCATTCACCTTTGGGAACCTTGTTCAAGTTGTCTTCCGGTCCCAGGTGAACATATCCCATTTTTGCTTCATCAAACTATCATGGAACTCAAGGCTGAGTGAACAAGATGCACTAATTTTAAAAAGTGACTTAAGAGCATCCAATATGTGCAGCCAGGGCAAGGCCAATCATGCACAACCTGTCAGAAAGAGGGGAGTGCAGGCATAGTGCTTCCAGGGCTGGTTAGATTTCATAGGTCAACAGCTAAACAGTCACTCTGGTTGTATGAATTTCTGCAGGCATAAAACTCTTGGGGCCTTTCAAACCAAAAGCCCAAACCATCCCCTTCAACTTGAGCTAAAGAAAATTCTCTAAACAAGCACATCCTTAAGTGTTGTTTTTTATTTGGCAGGTATGATTCCTATAGAATATCCAATTCTAGAAGGAGCAAAGTATGTCAAATTTAAAAGGAAGGAACCGTCATCTCAAGCCTGGGCTAAAAGAGTGAACGAACGTGCTCCAATAGCTTCAGAAATGAAAAGGCCTCAAAAACCTCCTAGCAGACCAATTGACCAAAGGATTCCTCCCAAGCCTTCTCGCAGACCCGTGGATCAAAGGAAACCTTTCAGTCACTTGGATACCGTGACCCAACCAAAGCCTGCACCAAGGTTTGCTTGGTGATGCCTACACTCTTCCTGGTTGGGGAGAGGACACAGTGTCACTGAAATTTTGGGTTCACAGTTTATTTTGATCATAAAGGAAATAGTTGTGTGGTGAATGAGGTAAGCAGGCAGCTGGCAGGATTAAACTGGATTCTTTGATCCAGATCCTTAGTTGGTGTTCATCAGCATAGCTCTAATGGGTTCAATGGAACTCTGCTGACATACACTACCCGAGGAGCTGGCCTTTTACATAATATAATGGCATCATCTTGCCTTCTTTTTCAACCTGCTCCACTATTCCTGCTGCAGTTCCCGCTAGAATTCCTAAGTGCGTAGTACATTTATTCCCCAGTGGGTAGATGAAATCCCCATAAATCTCTATACACAGGAAGACTGAAGAGAGTTTTATGATCACATCCTACAGAGAACATTTAACATTTGCCCAGTTTGTTTGATGGGTCAGAATATCTGCACCACCACAAGCCCTAGAAATTGAATATTCCTGTAAGATAAAGCTTAGGTTCTACAAGAACTGGTAAAGGGCCGTCAAAAGAGTGCTGGTATAGGCCCTGATCCTGCATTAGTAGAATCAATGGGAGCTTCACCACTGACTTCAAAGAGTGTAGGATCAAGCCTTTGTGAACCAGCTCAATCTGACCTGATGCCCGAGTATTAGTTTCCAAGGGTTTGTCTGCATCTGTTGGAGGATTCTTCCCCTCTGTCATACATTCCTGAATGAACACAACTGTTAGTGGGAGAGAAGTTTTGCATCTTCTGCCTCTCAAAGAGCCACTTTCCTTTGATGTTAGGGAATATGATGCTTTTTAAGTTGAGACAGCCCCAAGTTGCAAAATCAGGGTCTGGATGCAGGTTCAAAGCCTTCTGCAAAATTTGGGAGGTTCAACTGAATGGGTTTTTTGGTGGGTTTTTTTAAGCCTTTCTCTATTTTACATTGTCAAGGTTCCTCCCCCACTCTGAACTCTAAGGTACAGATGTGGGGACCTGCATGAAAACCTCCTAAGCTTACTTTTACCAGCTTAGGTTAAAACTTCCCCAAGATACAAATTAATTTTATCTTTTGTCCTTGGAATAACCACTGCCACCACCAAACTCTAATTTGGTTTACTGGGAAACATAGTTTGGACACGTCTTTCCCCCCAGAATCCTCCCAACCCTTGCACCCCACTTCCTGGGAAAGGTTTGGTAAAAATCCTCACCAATTTGCATAGGTGACCACAGACCCAAACCCTTGGATCGGAGAACAATGAAAAAGCATTCAGTTTTTTTACAAGAAGACTTTTAATAGAAATAGAAGTAAATAGGAGTAAAGGAATCACCCCTGTAAAATCAGGATGGTAGGTACCTTACAGGGTAATTAGATTCAAAACGTAGAGAATCCCTCTAGGCAAAACCTTAAGTTAGAAAAAAAACACACAGACAGAAATAGTCATTCTATTCAGCACAATTCTTTTCTCAGCCATTTAAAGAAATCATAATCTAATGCATGCCTAGCTAGATTACTTACTAAAAGTTCTAAGACTCCATTCCTGTTCTATCCCCGGCAAAGCAGCATACTGACAGAGAGACACAGACCCCTTGTTTTTCTCCCTCCTCCCAGCTTTTGAAAGTATCTTGTCTCCTCATTGGTCATTTTGGTCAGGTGCCAGCGAGGTTACCTTTAGCTTCTTAACCCTTTACAGGTGAGAGGATTTTTCCTCTGGCCAGGAGGGATTTTAAAGGGGTTTACCCTTCCCTTTATATTTATGACATACATGCAAGCCGACTCAACTTTTTAAAGGGTCAGATTTCCATGTCTTAGGCATACTGGAGCCTCTGCCTGAAATCATGGTAACAAAGTGACCTGTATTTAACTACGTTCTTGGATTACAATAAATATCTACTGTATATTATGTACTTCTGGTATGTATGTATCTAAACTGAACTTTATATGCCTTGCAGAGTTAAAACTATTTCAGCTGCAGGGGCACGCCCTGCCAGTACCTGGGCATCATCTATTGCTGACTGCCCAGTTGTGCTCCGGAGGCTGCTCTCCAAACAGGACACTGGCCTGGGCTGCAAGTGCGTCGTGAAAATTCCATTTGTTACTGACTTGGAGTTTGACAAGTTTATTTCAGCCCCCAGAAAGTCCGATCAGATCCTGGTGATCTTTGTCTTGTCATCCCAAAACCCTTCCTATTCTCCCTTCTTGGAATGGATGTTACAAAGCCTGTACATGGAAAAACAGCATGGCCGCCCATCCCCTTGTGTTCAGGTAAATTGTGGTTGGGGAGAAGGATCGGAGGACAGAAAACACACGTAGGCGACCCACAGCAAAGGGGGACTGCCTCGTGCTTTTCAGGAAACATAACGTTCAGATTTCAGAGTAGCAGCCGTGTTAGTCTGTATCCGCAAAAAGAAAAGGAGGACTTGTGGCACCTTAGAGATGAGCATAAGCTTTTGTGAGCTACAGCTCACTTAATCAGAGAGTGAGTGACACTAGTGAATAGTATTAGACTGACAGTCTTGGGGATTATTTTGGGGAAGATCTATGGCCTGTGTTATGCAGGAGGTCAGACGAGATGGTCACAGTGGCCCCTTCTGGCCTTGGAATCTATGAATCTGAGACGGAAGAACTCTTCATGGAGCAGCTACAACACACAGCAGCAGCAGTTCAAGTTTTCTCCTGCTGTCCACTAATGTGCTCCAACTTTGACCTTGGGCGCTGAGGAACCATTACTAGCGATGAGTGGGGGAGTTCAGACTCCACGTTCATTAAGTCACTGTTAAGTTATAAAATTTGTCCCTAAACTACTTGATCATTTCCCCTTGAAATGATAAATATGAGGCTTTCTGCTTACCACTGAGCTACAGAATGTCACTGGTGTGATAACATGCATAGACCAGGCAGAAGAGATGTCTAACCAACACAAGATGTCATTCTGATTGCTACCTTTATCTTTGTTATCTTTATTTAAAAGATAAAGCTTAATAATGACTGCACCCACATTTTGCAAACTAGCCACCAGGATGTGCTGCTGTTCTAGTAGAAACAACTGCAAGTGCAATTATTTTAATCTCACTAGGGGTCACTATTGATGTCTCAGAACCAGCTGCATGTGCAATTATATGGCAATTATAAGAAAAACAGCCCTTAAAGAGAGAGACTCAAACTGTACATCAGTGTCTCCAGTCCAGTTCAAATATTGAGGATGTTGCTACATCCGTATTATACATATTCAGAAGATAGGTTCTACTCAAATGAGAGTATCAGATTAATTACTGAGTTAACACTTTGTGGTGAAAGTCTTTCCAGACTGGATTAATAATAAAACCAAGCAAGTTTCACTCAACAGTGACAGTGAAATGGTATAGCAGTGTCAGAGCTCAGAGCCAGCATATATGTAAGGATTTGAGAATTGTATTTCCAACCGTTTTTATACACAGTCCTACAATTAAATGCTGGCCTGAGTTCCAGATGTGGTTACAGTCCTGTATATACACAACTCTGTGTCAAGTCTGCAACTCCCAGCATTCTTTAGCTTATCTGGCAAAGTGTCACAGTCAGCGAGAAGAAATAAATGATACAATCAAAGAGCATTTTGTGTACCGCTAAGGCTATATAAATGACATACCTCTTGCTGCAGTGCTTCAAGGGCCTGATCCAAAACAACCTTGCATCTGGCCACAAATGTGGCAGAGTAATTAGACTGTAATTTCATAACACTGTACTCCTAAACCCCAACCCCCACAAAAAATCAAAACCCCAACTCCTCCCCACACCTTGAAAAGGGAGAAGTGCCAGAGACTCCAGGAAGTCCAGTTGGGACTTTGATTGTTCCTATTGATTTTATATGGAAGGCGCTCAAATACTATGGTGATGTGCAGCAGTAGAAAACCCTAAAATAGACAGATGTCAACCTCTTCTGCTCCAACAAATGCAGTGCAGCAACTCATTTCTATCGAAACCTTCACAGATAAAATATTTTGGTGACCCCTGTTAACTAGTGCTATGTCACTTGTATCATCTAAAACTAGACTGGATATGTCCCTCACAAATATTGCTAAGGAGCAATAGCTTTTCGTCGTTGGGATTGACAAAAATCACTTACATTCTTCTCCATCATCAATTTCAGTGATTCTAACACATTCCATTTTAAAATTATAACAACCAACATTAGGGCTTTATTTTTTAGCTGAGACCCCCCCCACTAGAGTTCCCAAAGACCTATTTTATTCTATTCAAGTTTTTATACTGTGCTCATCACTGTAGTATTAGCCCCTTCCATTAGTGCATTAAGCCACGTGGCTACACATCTGTTACCTAGAAAGAATGAATGTGTTTGTCCATCTCTAGTGCAGGTGTGACCCTTACCGCTTGCTGAGGTACAACATGGACAGTGTCATGAGAAAAAAGCCCCCCCCTGCCACCTCTGCTTGTGCAGAAGCATGCTGTCACTCCGGGAATGGTGCTGGTAAGTCTGGAAGTTTTGCCACTTGGAAGGACCCTGAACCTTTGGCTCTGTGACTCAGTCAGAACACTATGTCTCTATGATGTATGGTACTCATGGGTGACTACATTATACATAGTGCTGCCTGCCAGCCAGCTCCATTGTAAATGAGGCTGAGTACCAGCCTGATCTGAAGGAGAAAGAGTCACTGACTCATTAAAACATCTGTTTGTTGGCTATGAATCACATTACCTCTAGGAAGGATGGTGGTTTAAGGCAGGAGAGAAGTTCCTTTACAAAAAGTTGAGATGGGCCGAAGTTGCAATATTTCGATATGGATCCTGATCCAAACTTCCCCACATTTGGGTGGATTCAGATCTAATGTCATACAGTTCAAATCCATCTTATAAAGATGGGCCCACACCACGAATTTCCCCCAAAATTTGAAGAAGGCTGAATCCAATGCCTCTAAGAGAAACCCAAGGCCATGCTGTATATGTTCCTCCAGTGCACATCTTGTCTCCGTTCATTATCCATATGCATTACCAAATCAGGAGGTGAATGTGTGCCAGGAGAGTGTCTACAACTGAAGAACAGAAGGCACTTTTCTGTTTGGTCACCAGTCATATTCCTGTTTGGCTGTAGAAGTCTTCCTTATTTTGTTTTTACCAATACAATAGCTATTCAGCTTCATCCAGCACTTTTTGTCCTAGGCTGTCTGCGCACAAACTTACAGTGACGTACAATCTATGTCAGGACTCACTTTACCCCTCCCTGAAATGAAGCCACTTCTGGGGTGGTGTGCATCAAAGCAAGACTACCCAGCCCAGCAAGACTACTGAACACTTTAGGATAGGAACTGAAGAATAACATATCTGGATGAAACCGCAGTAGCAGTTTAGGGTGGCAGAATGTTACCCACACTGGAATTTGGCTAGGACACTGGGGTTGGCACCCTTATATTATGAAAAGTTTCTAAAGGGCTTTTAGTGACCACAAGTGGCCCTGTCTCACCCGAGTAATGGATTTTATTGTGAAATACTCACTCTGATTCTGCTCCCACTGAAGTCAATGGCAAAACTCCCATCTAGTGTTGCAGGGTCAAGCTGTCTATGGGGTAATATTGTGCCTATATAGCCCCCATCTAGCCTAACATTTAAGCACATGTCTAAAGTGAAATAAGTAACGTAATGAGCACTCACTTATGATTAAAACACCCTACAAATAATAGACACAGCCATCTCAACCCTAACAGTAACAGCTACCTCACTGAATAAATAAGTATTCATCAGATATTCTACATAATCCCTGTGGGTCAAACCTCTTGTTCACTTCAATGAGAGTTTTAACCAAATAAGGACTTCAGGATTTTGCCTTCAATATGTAAGCACTCAATGAATTTCTATTAGTATAGACTCTTCAGCTGTTCTACTCCAAAAATGTGCCAGTCAGTGTCAGTATGTTGGCTATTCCTAATCATCTGATGACTGTGAATAATTTCACCAGCCCTCTCTGATATCCAGCCAAAACCCTGTCCTCACCCAGTCTCTGCTGGTACATGGCACTGTCTATCCAAAGATCACACAATTTACAATGAATCCAGTCTTTCAAGCTGCTCTGTGAAATAAGCACCATCTCCATTTAACAGCTTGGGAAACAGAGGCAGGAAGGAATTAAGGGCTTTGCCTATACTGCACACTGAGTCAGTGGCAGAGCTGGGACTAGAACCCACTTGCCAAAGTCTCACGTTTTGTACAGAAGAAATACCGTGCTATTGAACGGCTAGACATTCCACTGCTTTGGGAAGGGCTATTTCCATGGAAGTACAGTTCCCTTCTTGGGAGTCCTGGCTCACACAGGTTTTTATTTGGGTTCATTGAAAGAGGCGCCAAGTCAGATAAGGCTGTATAAGAGAGCCTTTTAATGAATGCCCTACTGTGTTCTAGAATGGCTCTTTTACAGCCCTGTAAATCTCTGACTGTGGAAGTGTAACACTCTTGTCTCACTGGACAGACAAGACCAGGGATTGGAATGGTTATAAGGCTATTATTCATTCCATTTAGCAACCAGAATCCATCAGCTGACCTCTGCAACACACTTAAGCTTATTGTTAACATACAGTCTGGATGTACAGGCAAATAAGATGTTATGGTCAAAACAGAGGTCATTGCAGAAGCATTTGAACTTCATGAAATGGTTTTGTTTGAAAGGACTTTGATTTGTGGAACCAAGAATTTACTGCTAAAGTTTTTCCAAAGGAAGGACCTAGATGAAGGGATGAAATTTTAATGACAGATTTGTTTAAGTGTAGTTATTAAAATAAGGTTTTGATCATTGTTTGACATGAGTAACTTTAAAGCACAAGGGAGGGGGGAGGATTACAGTTTTGAAAAGAAAACTAGGGATAGCTGAGGGAGAGAGAAATATAGAAAAACTGAGCCTCGCCAAGGAAACAGCATGAAAATCAGGCAACCTGGAGTCTCACTGCAGCTTTGCTACTGACTCACTGTATGTCTTTGGGCAAGTCACTTAACTTCTCTGTGCCTCAGCTTCTCCATCTGTAAAATGGACACGATAATATTAATTTGCCGTTTTGTAAAGTGCTTTGATAGCCCGGAATGACAGCTGCTGAATAAGTGCCAGTTATTCCAATTGTGCTTGAGTAGGCAGATGTACAATAGCTCTTGCTATGCCTGTTTAATCTCCCCTTCATGTGACACATTGCACCAATTCTCATCATGCCACTAAGCCCAGCTCCCACACCCTTGTCCCTGCCCCACACATTTTTTTATCTTTGCTGCCAGCAGTAAACAGATCCCGCACATGCCCATGTCTGACCCCATGAAATGCACCAAATCCCTTGGGAGGATTTAAAAAGCCCTGTGTGGGTGGTGGCAGGAGCAGGGAGAGGAGTGTCTAGGAAAGGTCCATTGGTCTGCTCGGCTGGGCTGCATGTTGTGATTTCTTCCTGGACAAATGCCACTGTTTGAAAATGTGTAAATGCCTCTTAACAGCCACTGCATTGGTGGGTATTATGTGCTCTGCTGAATAACTGAGCTGAGCTAATGCAGAGAGCTGGAGTAGAAAGCAAAATTGTAAGGCTCTCGCCCAGGGAGGAGTTCTTTGTCGAGGAGATTTCAACAGATGAAGCTGATGTTGGCCATTCCACTCCAAATGACCCTTCCTGATTCCCCTTCCTCTTCCATGACAGTTACAGAGAGACTGACTCTTACGGACTGATAATGGCGCTTTACCTTACCGAACCTCTTGCACAGGGCTGCTTGTTGATCTGTGCTCTACTAGGTACTAGTGTGATGGAAACCACCCAATTGTCTTTTGTGATGTTTGCAGAAATGAGATTGGTCCTGAGATGCTGTTACTGCCTGACATCTCCTTCATTCTCCTTAGGGTAGGCCTCCTGACCCTTGTACCTAGTGCTTAATGTGTAATGAAAGAGGTGTCGGGATTCAAGCAATTAGGTACTTGAGGCTCAAGCAATTTTTTTTTTACTTTCAAAACTGACGCAGCAAGCCCAGAGGTGCCGGGGCTATGAACAGCCAAGCCCAGAGATGCCGGGGCTCAGCCCTGGCAAGCCTTGGCATAAATTAAGCACTGCTTGTACCCCCAGTGTAATTAGCACTGAGCTTAATAGTTCGTTAATCACCTGAAGAATTCTCCTGCCTAGCCCCACAGCAAAGAAATATCAGTTGGAGCAGAGCTGGACAAACACTGCCCTGAGGTTATTGTAAATAATTTGGTGACATCTAAATTAAGTTCCATTCCACATCATGCACATCCCTTTCCCACAAACACTCCTACATGCATGCAAGCCATTTCTTTTCCTGTTTGTGCACAGCAAAAGCACTCAGGTAATGCCCTGAGTACAGATTTGGGGGTAGAGAGGATTTATCTGCGGACACCTGTGTGACTGTGTTTGCATGAAGGTTCACTATAGGAGTGCTCAGGTGGCCATCTTGAAATGTCTGTCAGAGCTAGAAACAGGCCCGTGCAACTTAGGTGACCAATTCTGTAGTGTGATTATCATATTGTGACTATCCCGTACTTAGAAGAATTCTTACACTGAAGACTTCCTGAACAAACGGTATGTTGGCATTTTGTTTGTGAATAGCCAACACACTTGTAAGGAATGCAGTCCTGGCTGGACAATAAGAGTGTGGCTCCAAAAGACCAGACAAACCTTCCTCAGATCGTGCTGTCTCCACAGAAGTGGAAGGGACTTTTAAATGTCTAATAGCTGCAGTCATTTTACTGAACTGTTGCTTTGCCTGCAGGTGGGCTGGGAAATTAAATATTGCCCTGAAAGGAGCTTATGAGTAAATAGATTGATAGGGTCAGATCCTCAGCAGGTGTCCATTGGTGTAGCTTCATTGCCTCCTTTGGTTTACATGGAGCTACCCAGATTTACACCTGCTGAGGAATTGTCCCATAATATATAAAATTAAGTAGGGAATCTTGATTATTTTTCTTAGCACCTTCCTATTAGTTGTTTTTCCTGCTAAGTCCCTTCTGCCAGAAGCACACACAATGTCACCGAATGAGCTAGGAATAGAATCCAGGGGTCCTCATCCTCCATCCCCTGTTGAAGCTACCAGACTGTTGTTGGGGCTGCTTCAACACAGCTGTTAACTGAATGTCTGCTAAACTAGCTGAGGTTTGCTGCGGGATCTGTAGATGCAAAGAGTTGGACTTAACCTGATAACTGGTGAAAATGACGTTGTTTGCGATGAGCCTTCCAACAACGAGGCCCTGCTGTTGCCTCCTTCGATGGTGAACCTGAACTCTATCATCCGTAACATTCCTGTGGAATGCAGTTGTTGCAATTAAAAGTGGAAAAGGAGACGGTGCTGGGGATAACATGGTCCTTCCCCTTTCCAGGGCTTAGAAGCTAAGAAACAGACTCTTGAACATTGTGCAGGGTCTGATGGGCAGCCAACATAGATCATACATTGGGGACATTAAGCACTCTGGTTGGCTTGCTCCTTTTAGCAGACAGGCTGCTACATGTTCACTCGTCTGTAGCTTGCAGGTGGTCACTGGGGACAGGCCAAATTAGACAGAGTTGCTCCAGCCTCAAGGTAATAAGCTAATTCATTCAACACTACTGCATTCCCTCAGGGCCTGCAGTCCCCTGTGCTCCAGAAGTTGATGAATACAGCAGCCAGAGATGCAAAATACTTGGGCACATTGAGACTGATTCCAATTTAGAAAGGCCACCCTGCAATGTGGAAGATATTTCAACTCCCAACCCCCCTATGTCTCCCACCTCTTTCACACAGAGGGTAGATCTAATGGGAGAAATCAGGATATGTATCTATAACTATGTCAGGAGACATCGAGTGGCGCATTAGCTTTGTTCAAATGGACATGGAAACATCTACCCAATTGTAAAGTGTGGGTAGGCAGGATAGGAACACAGCAATTCAGCTTGAAAGTTTTTCAAGTAAATGGGTATATTGCACTTTGGTTTCAGACACACCTGCTCCTTTTCCAGATCCTGTAGTTAGATGCCTGATGTATTTGGTCTTCTAAACACGCAGCCCTTCTGGCTTTCCTTTTGTGAGAAGATATGAAAGTGCTGGTAGCAATCCTAACACCAGTGCTGGCTTTCAGTGCCTTTCTACACCCTCTGCTGCTGCTCCTCGCAGTTCAGAGAGATTAATCAGATAACACCAGAGGGAGCTGCTAGCGTTCAGAACTCAGGCCAGTTGCCCACACACGGCACTTTGACCAGAAGAGAGAGTAACTTGTGAGGCAATCAGTGAGCTTCAGCTTTGAAACAACCCTTTTCTTCCTCACACAGATGTACAAATAGAGCAAGTGTGTGATCCAGTAACCACCACTGACAATTGACCATGCACTTTCCATATCTCCCTGCATTCTGTGCCCCACCATCCTGATCTCTCATCCTTCTACTCCCCTTTCCCGGCCCTCCACCCATTCACTCCACTCCTTTTGTCACACCCTGCATATATCCACCTACTCTCTGTCTCCATCCTATTGCTCTGACCTCACGTCTTCCTATCCCACCCTGTTCCCCCTAATTATCACTCCCCTAATCGTTATGCTCCTTCAGTCTCCACCCTGCTGCTCTGATCTCATATCCACTGACTCACTCTACTCCACAGGTCTCCACACATGTTGTCCCCCACATCCACTTGCCATCTCACTTCTCCACCTGGTCTTTGCCACCTTCATTCCAGATCTCCTCCCCACGGTGGTCTACAGCTGGAGCAGGGTGGCTCCTTCATTTGTGCTACCCCTGGACTATGTTCCACTGAATCACTTCTCCTCCGTTAAGTCTTGGCTTGAAATCGTCTCTTTCCTTTATGATTCTATGTGCAAATGACACTATGGAAAAAATAGAATGCACAGTATTGAATTGTAATGCATCTTCTTCTGCACTGCCCCAATCAGGGAACAGAGTTTTTAGGGCTGTCAAGGCTATATTAAGATTTCATATGGATCAGGTATATATCTATTCATTGCAAATCCTGAACGACACAAAAGCTGCTGCAGAATGTATCCTGCTGTAAGTAGAAGGTGGAAGTTGAAGGACCGTGCTGTGCCTAGCAGGAGGCTCAGCCCAGGAGAGGTGGGTGCAAAGGTAGCTTTGTGATAACTCTTCACCTCTGACATTCCAGGCTACTTTGAGGATAGGGATTTGGCCCCCAATGTAAGCTAGAGCGGATCCTAAGGCTGCTCTAACTGATGGTAGTTGCAATCAGCCACCGCTAGGCTGTTCTGTATTCCACAACAAATGAAGTACTCCATACTCTAGGCACTTCTCCCTTCCTGCCCTCAGCCAGCCCCTTGTGCTGGGGGCTGCACGGGAGTGCTCTAGGACTACCTATGTCACCCCCTTCCTGGGGGAATTCTCCACAGGCCCATTTCACCCCTTTTTGACACATATACATCACAGGAGTGGCATGAAGAAACGGCAGAGAGGGCCAGAAGACTCCCTGTAGTAGAGACTGATGAACCTCAGCAGACTCAGAGGTTCAGCTTGGGTTTATACCGAAGAATTTAGAACCCAGATTTGCAGAAAGTTGCAAATCTGGGCCCAGCTTTGGACTGATTTCTGAGCTAGAGTAGAAAAAACAGGAAGCTCTGGATTCACATGGTTTCTAACTAGGGATCAGACCATGCAATGTAAGCAGAGGTACCCATTACTAAAAAGGTTACCCACAATCCCCGGTTACCTGGAGGTTTCAGTTAAAATGGTCAGCAGTGAAACAGTTACGTTTCAGAGTTAACTTGTCATTGATTAAAAAGGGTGAAATGTTCATGTATATTTTTTGTGAAAAATACATCCCATTTTTCATCTAGCTCTAGAGCTGCTTGAAAACATTCACATTTTGATTTTTTCCCCAGTTAAATTGATGAATTTTTGCAAAAGTTTTTCTAAAAAATCTTGCTATTTTTCAGTTGGCTGCATTTTCATCCCAACCCAGGAAAAACACAGCTGTTTCCAGTGGGTATCAGTTTGAGCATTTGGGTTCATTTGGCCTTAAATTCCAGGGGAAGGGGTTAATAAACCCACACAGACTGAAACAAATGATCAAAAGAAAATGTAAATAACCCTTAATTTTTGCACAAACTCTAGTGCTTCCTTGATCCTCTGATCTGCAAGATTAGGCTTGAGGTCTCAAGAAAACAGGGCCCAGGAGGTACCTGATATCATATAAACAGCATCCATCTTGAATGTTCATGCTTCTGTTTCTATTCCTAGCCAGCACTTATAAGTAAAGTGAGGCATGCAAATGGAAAAAAGTTGTCATGTATTGACACACTCACATCACCAGCTTCACATTAGTCCCATGTACACGTCTATTAATTGCTCAGCCATCCTCTCCTCCAGCCTCTGTGATGCTTACAACCGCTGTTCCAGAGGAAGAAGAGGGAATGTTTTGAGATTTGAGGTTGGCTCAAACAAAACTCATTGGGTGTAAACCCACCACAAATCAGAACCTACAATGTTTCCCCCCCAAAAAACTCCTGACCAGGAAACCACCAAACTCTGCCCAGCTCTACAACCTTGAATAGCTCCAGAATTCATGCAGCCATACGTATGTTATGCTCACATCCAGGGCAGGCTCTAGGTTTTTTGCCACCTCAAGCAAAAAAAAAAAAAGGGATGGCCAGAATGCCGCCCCAGGAATTGTGCCACCCCAAGCACATGCTTGCTTTGCTGGTGCCTAGAGCTGGTCCTGCTCTCGATCAATCTACCCTACTCTATTCCTAAAGCACAGTGTAGCGTCTAGTTGTCACTAATGTCCAGCGGGTTCATAGAAACATTGCCGGCAAAAGGGCTTTCACAGTGTGGAGGACAGTCCCATACTTTTCCACTCCAAAAGTAAGTTGAATTCCAGTCAGCACTGATGGTGTTAACTGCTCTCAAGGCAGAAAGTGTGTTTGCAGCACTCAGAGGCCCTAACCACTGGGTGAAAACATCTAAGAGTCCTATGCAAAACAGGAAAAGGAAGCCATTTGGCCCAAGCTTTCACGCTTGGTTTTATTTTTTTTTTATGGTAAAGCGTTTTTTTTTTCCTCTTTCTTCTTCCTGCCTGTTTGTCAACAGATGTACGCTGGAGGGAAGCTGCTCTTCGGGGGCTGTGTTTTCAACGGATATGGCTGCAGCAAGAAGGACCTGCTGAAACAGATCGGCCAAGCTCGCCTCGACTGCAAGATGGGTCACTTCCTGCCAGAGAGTTTCAAATTTAGGTAAAGCAGGAAATGCGGGGAAGGGGGCCCCATGTCACACTGAGGTCTGTTTGTGACATGAACCTGGCTAACTAGGCGAAATCGAGGGGGCTGTGATAAGGAGCATGGGGGCATTGATAAGGTCATTATCGGCCATTCCAGTTAATAAACAGCATGAACGGAAAAAATAATGGAAGAAAAAAAGTAGGATCAAGTGGAATATTCTTCCCTCACGTGTTTCTGGAAGCTCCTTAATTCAGAGCACTGTGACTCAATAGACAGAGGCATAACTAAGAGCTTGATCAATCACCCCTACTATGTGGGCATGCCCAGAGCACAGACACAACTCCCTAAGATCTGGCCTAGCATGTACTAGGAGGGATGTGGAGGAGATGTAGCCATGCTGTTACATTTCAGTTAACAAAGTCAGTGGGCTGCCTTACAAATTTGTGGTGAGCTTTTCAAAGCCAATTGGATTTAACCACAACTGAACATCTCCATCTTGATTGCCTGAGATTTCATTTCAACAACCCCTTACACCTGCCAACTAAGCCTGACATCAAGACACAGATATTTTGCCACACTGAGGTGTTCACCTGTATTCTGGTATTTGAGGGTTTCCTTATCTTTGGAATGGGAATCTGTTCAATTTAGTTACTGCTGGGAGTCAAACTGCAGTTTTTAATGGCCCGCCACTATTCTGCGGGGAGCTATATCTTAACTGAGATCTATCCCCCTTGTAGTTCAGAGACATAGCTGAACTATACGACAGGAAAGGCATGTCTCCAGTGAGAATTTAATTCACATTAAGGTAGGGTGTGAATTTAACGCAAAATAATTATTCCGTATTAACTCCATGTGTGGATGCTCTTATTCCAGAAGAATTCTGAATTAAACTGATTTGGAATAAGGCACTTTCATTCCAGAATAAGGGCATCCACACAAGGAGTTATTCAGGAATAGATATTCCAAAATAATTCCCTGTGTAGACAAGCCCTTAAACTCTCCCATACTTCAGGGTGTATCTCTTAGGTAGGGAGATGCATTTATTGGACTCACCTTGAGACATTTACTACTATGCGTATATTTTCACATTCATTTTGCAGGTTTTTCCCCCTGTATATCTGAAGAATATATATATATATATATATATATATATATATTTTAAATGTAGCCCTTAAATTGTAACCAGCAGGCAGTTATCTACTTCACTGCACCACTCTGGCCTCTGTGCTCTAGCCATGGTGTTTTAGTGATCCACGGAGGTCCCAAGGGAACTGCTTGGCACATGCAAGCTGCATCAGGTGTGTGCTTGTTTGCCCAATTTACATGACATATTAGATGCCAAGGAAATGGCAGTTTTATCACTTAATTCAAAGCCAGATATACAGGCAGGATGGGAACCTAGTTCCCTCAAGCACAGCCCAGGCCTTTGAGGGTGCTTCAGTATCAACACTCTTCTCCTCTCTGTTTTATAGCAAGGCTGGAGTCTGAGCTCCGGGACCTGACTCAAAGGTTTGGGTTGTGCTATTGAGTATCCTGACTTCAGTGTCTACAATCCAGACGCATGGAAGGATTTCCCTCCTCTGAGCCCCTTTGATTTAAGAGGCAAATCCTGCTCTCCTTCTCCCACCCCACAGGCATAGAAAAATCAAGAGGTCATTTTGATCTAGCAAACAATAGCAGCGAAGCCAGGGCAGCATAGGCTGCACAAGCCTGCCTAGGACCCTGGCTATGTACTCAAGCAGCTATCAATCTGATTTTCAATGAGATTTGTGCTCCTGAGTCAGGGTTTGTCTACAGGGGACAACCAGGAAAGTTAATCCAAATCAACGAAAGGTGTGAATTTGAAGTGGGCTAGTCAAACCACATTAAGATCTTGTACAGATGCTGTTATTCAGAATTAAAGTGGCCTTAATTCAGTTTATCTTAATTCACTTCCAAACCGAATGTCCACACATGCTGCAGTCACACCTCTGGTTACAGTGGGCACATGTCTACTTTTGAAAATCCCATTCTAAATCCAATTAAATGGCTGCACAAAAGGTGCGCAAGGCAAATCAAAACCACAGCTCGGCTATAACTAAAATAAAATAAATGAAATCTACGATAAAGAAATAAATATACAAATGAATCAAATAAACGCAATATCAAGAGGTAACAGCCTACTTGAACTGGGAGGCATCATGGCCCAATGGATAGGACCTGTACTGCTAATGCAGAGATCTCAATACTAGTTCCCACTCTGCCACTCTCTTAATGTGTGACCCTGGGCAAGTCACAAGGTAGCCTTTCAAAAGCAGCTAATGGATTTAGGCGCCCAATTACTTTCAGTGAGATGTCTGCTCCATAAAATCCCCTTGTGTAAAATGATGACAATAATGCTGAATCACCTTTGTAAAGCACTTACAGATTCCAGAGGAAAAGCATTAAACATTAGCTGTTATTTAAAATGGGTAACTCCAAATAAACGCCTTTCCAGTGCTTTAAGGGGATATCTCATGCTGTGCATGCCGCGGGCATTGGTCCATAAACTAGCAATGAGAGGTACATGCCGAGATTCCATCCACAATCGCTGCACTATGCCAAACTGGATGCCCCAAAGAGCACATCTAGCATTCAAAGGGTTAATTGGTGCTGCGTGTTGGGAGTTTATTAGGCCAGATGAGAAAATCCTTAGCTGCACGTATGATATAGGAAGGGTATGAACTCATTTGCAGTCTCTTACAGTAACCCTTCCCCACCGCTGACTAATGCCTGTTCGTTCCTGTGGTATGTAATGTTCTCTACGGTCATGTTCATGGAGGCCGAAGTTATTTTTAATGCAGCTGTAATATGGGTCGCAAAAATATCCAGGAACAGTGTTAACTTGTTTTCTTTTTCACTTTAATCTTGCTGCTCTTGGACAGGAAACACAGACTACACTGTGTACTGGAACCTGTCTCCTGAGTGTAGTAGACTGATACAGCAAGGGGGATTGACCCTTTCACTGCTGGGCACTAGTGGTTTGTTTGCAGGAGCTTTTATGCCTTTGAAGGACTAAGGTAATTGAAACCTCTGTAACTGCAGGTTCCCTTTGAAACACTGAAAAGGTCAGTGCACACACTCTCTTTCTTTCTCTTTCTTTGTTGTTCATCTTCTTTCTTGGCATCTTATATTTCTGATCTGTACTAAAATTTGAGGGCCAGATATTTTATTCAGTCCTTGCTCCAAGCAAAATTCCCATTGACTTCAACGGATGTTTGTCTGAGTAAGGACATCAGGTTTAGGAAGACATTTTCTCTTTGGGCAGGTTATTCCATAACTGTTTTCTATGAGGTTTCCTGCACCTTCCTCCAAACCATCTGATGTTGCCCATCACCGGAGACATAATATTGGATTAGATGGACCTTGGGTCTGATGTGATATGGCAGTTCCTATGTTACTGTGAATATAACATAGAAAATCCTGCAGGTTCTATATTGGGGTCTCAAAGTCCCAGCCTGTGGGCCATCTGCGGCCCAAGAACCTCCGTACTGCAGCCCACGGAAACTTTTTAAAAAGTTATTTCATCCGGCCCCCATAGCTGCCAGCTGGGGGGAGGAGGGGCGGGAGGGGAGCGGGCAGGAGAGATTTGCATGCCCCTCCCCCCGGAGGAGAGACCCATGCAGCCACGCTGCTGGCTCTGTCTGCTGCAGGTGCTGCTCCTCCTTCCCCCCACCACAGCTCCCATCGGCCGGGGGAGAGGGACAGAGGTATCATAACTAGTCGCTGGGCAGAGTCAGCCATGGAGGCAGCGTCACTAGTCGCCGGGCAGAGTCAGCCAGGACTGCGTGAGGCCAAGGGAGCGAAGTGACCTTATTGGCCCGCTGGGAGGATTTGAGGACTGGCACTGACCCTAAGGTAAACTAAGTTTGAGACCTCTGTTCTATATTGTATAGGGCTAAACTGACCAGCCCTTTTAAACCCAGGACCATAGACATTTTCCAGGCTGCTTACATGTAGTAGGAGTCACCACAAAGTGGCACGACTTTGCATGACCTCAAGGCAGACAGAGCAAGTTATCAAGTTTTGTCTGGGGACCATCATACTTTCACAGCGATTCTCACTGTGTGTTTGTGTATAAAGGTTTAATAAAATGCATTCTCAGAGCCGTGAGGAAAGCTGCTGACCCAAAGCATGCACATTCTGCAAACCCCCTCTCTAAAGGAGGAGAGCTCAGTGCAGCCAACTCTGGAGCCAGTCAGTGCTGCTTGGCTGTATGACTTGGGGGTGGGGGTGATGGTCAGTCAAGAGTAACACAAAGCGCTCGGGTCCAAATCCGTCCCTGCTCCATGTCCATTCATGTCAACGGGCCTAAACCTGGGGTAGATTTGGCCCCATTTGTCCTCCGGGTCTGAGTGTGCTCCCAGCCCTTGGCATTTGGAATGGATTTGGGAGCTTACATGTGAGGCTGTGTGCACTGTGGAGGGAAATGGGGGGGCCAGCCCGATAGTCTTAAAATAAAGGCACAGGATAGATTAAATTACGTTAAAAAGACGGTAGAGGAACCTCATCTGGATGGACTTTTCAATCACAGCCAGGCACTAACCAAGTGCAATGAGGCTCAGATGTCTGGGGGTGGGGGAGGGTGTCTGTGCAGAAGGCACAATGATGGCACAAGACTCAGGTATATCTGGGGGCTGTTGTATCCCAGGGAGTGACCCGCAGTAGTGTTGTTTGCTGTATTTCAGACCATACCGTGTTTCACACAGCCCCAGGGCAGAACACTAAAGAGCCCCAGACAGTCCCATGTTGCAGCACTGCATCCCCTTGGAGTGGGGCATTAGCATGCTGATAACAAGATGTCTCCGTGCGATGGGGACGGCAGAGCTGTAGGAATCAGGAAGCCATTTTACGTCACCGGGGCTTGTCCGTGATCTTACACTCGGACTGACGGATGAGGCTGAGATAAGGGAGGAAGCAGAGAAACATTGCATCGTGGCTGCAAGCATTCATTCTCCCTGCAGAATGTGACGAATGGGGAGGAAGGACGGGTGGGA